GGAGCTGCTGCTCCCACATCCAGAGCCACGCCAGGCTGCTGATCCAGGGCCTCTGTGACAGGTGTGTCACCTGCGTGTCAGAGTGCAGAGCCACGCCAGGCTGCTGTGAGCTGATCCAGGGCCTCTGTGACAGGTGTGTCACCTGCTGATCCAGGGCCAGTGTTTCACCTGCACGTCAGAGACCCAAGCCTGGCCAGGCTCCGGGGAGGAGCTGCTGCTCCCACATCCAGAGCCACGCCAGGCTGCTGATCCAGGGCCTCTGTGACAGGTGTGTCACCTGCGTGTCACAGTCCAGAGCCACGCCAGGCTGCTGTGAGCTGATCCAGGGCTTGGCCTCTGTGACAGGTGTGTCACCTGTGTGTCACAGTGCAGAGCCACGCCAGGCTGCTGATCCAGGGCCTCTGTGCCAGGTGTGTCACCTGCGTGTCACAGTCCAGAGCCACGCCAGGCTGCTGTGTGCTGATCCAGGGCTTGGCCTCTGTGACAGGTGTGTCACCTGTGTGTCACAGTGCAGAGCCACACCACGCTGCTGTGTGCTGATCCAGGGCCTCTGTGACAGGTGTGTCACCTGCGTGTCACAGTGCAGAGCCACGCCAGGCTGCTGTGTGCTGATCCAGGGCTTGGCCTCTGTGACAGGTGTGTCACCTGCGCGTCACAGTGCAGGGAGGGCCGGGTAAGATTGCTCCTGCCTCACAGGCAATACTACCTTTTAATAGCTGCACAGGCCAGGTGATCAGTGGTGTGAGGGCTGTTTTGGTGTGTGGATTGTCTTAGCCATACAGGGAATACAGACATCTGTTTTGAATGATTTGAATTGGAAAGACCTGCATGGAAGTCTGGGATCTCCTTAACATAAATGGTTGGATCAGAGTAGAGGATTTCACGGCTTGGTAGCTCAGCTTCTAGTCGTGTTATTTGTGAACTAACTCTAGTAACATATTTAGAAAGTGAAGTCTAAATTGGGTTGCTATTATTTAATGTTTCAAAGCTACCAGGTAGGTTGTATAATTTGCAGATTCAGCAGTCACGAGTCATGTTTCTGAAAATCATGATTCTTTAATTTTATTTTCACTCTTAGGCGCCTCATTTGGTTGTGTGCTATATACAATTGTTACAATACTGTTTGTGTAGGCACTACTGCAGCAGCACCTTTGAGACTGCTGGATTTAAGAAAATGAGGGTATGCTCTGTATGTTAAAGATTGTAAGAGCAATCTTTAGGGATTAATAGACCTTTAGGGTTATTGGGGTTGTTTCTTAGGTTTTTTTTTTTTTTGCTATAAGAGTTAAGTGGAATTTGGGACATTTCTGAAGCAAAATATTTATATATGTATAAAAATATCCTTGTTAAAATTGATAGATATAGTAGGTAATTTTAACATCAGTGCTTAGACTCACATAGGAAATGGACTGCTTTTAAGCTATAGCCATATAGTAAATAGTTGTGAAATCATAATTTCTTGCATTTTAGTCTCTTCCTACATTTCACCTGATAGTTGTTCTTTCTGGAATTTAATTGCACACTACAGCCACAGCTTGGTAGGATTTTGTGCAGCTTGTAACAATTCCTTGTCTTTTACATCTGTTCAGAACTTTGTCTAAAATTGATGTTTGATCACATCTAAGAAAAAGAATAATTTGGAAGGATTCTAAAGTACTGGCTGTGCTTAACCAGAGTATACTCAGTATTTACAGCTTTGTGAGAAACTTGACTGCTTTTATATTGTTAACAGAAAAACTGAAATTGGCCAAAGACTTGGAGGAGGATTATATTTTGTGAGTAATGTAACTTGGGTTTTTCCGTCAGGCCTTATAGCTACCAGCACTGCTGCTGTGCTTGCAAAGATGAGACAGCCAAAGGCAGGACTTCTCTCAATAGGATTGTTTAGGTTGGGAAAGCTCTCTGGGATAATTGAGTCCAACCATTATGATGTCACAGGTCTAACTGTCTTTGACCAAATTACTGTTTTTCACCATTTGAGATGACTGTAACCAGCACTTATGTACAGACGGGAGGGCAGTCTAGCAGCAGCAGAGTGCAGCTGGGCTCCCTTGTGGAGAAAGCCTTGCCAGGGGCCGCAGGGCCGTGCCCTGTGGCGGGGCGCTGTGGCGGGGCGCTGTGGCCGTGCCCTGTGGCCGTGCCCTGTGGCCGTGCCCTGCGGCCGTGCCCTGCGGCCGTGCTCCGTGGCCGTGCCCTGTGGCCGTGCTCCGTGGCCCTGCTCCGTGGCCCTGCTCCGTGGCCGTGTCCTGTGGCCGGGCGCTGTGGCCGTGCCCTGTGGCCGTGCCCTGCGGCCAGGCCCTGCGGCCAGGCCCTGTGGCCGTGCTCCGTGGCCGGGCGATGTGGCCGTGCCCTGTGGCCGTGCCCTGCGGCCGTGCCCTGCGGCCGTGCTCCGTGGCCGTGCCCTGCGGCCGTGCCCTGTGGCCGTGCCCTGTGGCCGGGCCCTGTGGCCGGGCCCTGTGGCCGGGCGATGTGGCCGGGCGATGTGGCCGGGCGATGTGGCCGGGCCCTGTGGCCGTGCCCTGCGGCCGCGCTCCGTGGCCGTGCTCCGTGGCCGTGCTCCGTGGCCGTGCCCTGCGGCCGTGCCCTGCGGCCGTGCCCTGTGGCCGGGCCCTGTGGCCGGGCCCTGTGGCTGTGCCCACCCGGCGCTGCCCCGGTGCCTTCCCCTGCTGACCACGCCGGGCCCTGGCCTCTGTCTCTGCACCACACGTGCTTGTGGAAGGGCAGAGGGAAACAGCAATTCACAAGTGCTACGAGCCTGCGGATTCACTGCTTCTGGCGACAGCCGGGTGCAGTGTGTGTCAGCCTGGTGAGGGCCAGGCTGGGCAGGGTCCTTCCACAGCTACCCAGGGAGGGGACTTGGCCGAAACCCCAGTATTGAAGTTGGAGGGAGACGACCCACCTTGCGTTGGGCAGCATCGACTCCACTTTATTCATCAATCAGGCACCTTTTATAACAGTGTTAATTCACTTCATGCATATTGCAAAATCTGAGCTCCTGATAGGCTGTAGAGAAAACTTCAGCTCCTCCTTTTGTTTACAATACCTGAAGTTAGTTTACTGAAACCAAGATCAGTGTTCTCACCCTGATATGGAAGGTTCCCAAAACCTTCATCTCTATTCGCAGACTCACTGTCTGCTCCCAGTAGCAGCCAAGGACAGAACGGTTTGAGAATCTTGTTGTTTATATAGAAGGTGGCTGAGAACCTAATTATTTACAGGATCAAGCCTGGGAAAGGCTGCTTTTACAGCAGGCTTCTATATTTCTTTAAGGCACACTTGAACCAGGCTCTCCACACCCCAGGAAGCTGCCAAAGACTGGGATGAGTGTTAGCTAGAAACAAATTACAAAAATGGCATATTAATGTGTGGAAAGTGTGAAACTAGGTTTAAAAAATATGGTAATTCAAAATGCAACAATCATGAAGACCACAGTACAGGGTTTTATTGCACAGCTACTAGAGCTGTGCATGACGAAGGTCCTGTCCCATGACAGCACAATTGTGGCTGCACTGCAGACAGCCTTGTACAATGGCACTTAAACCATCCAGAAAGTTTTGGAAAAAAGGTGCTTTTCTGGTGTACCTTGCATTGTTTGGATCAATGGTTTAACTCCATGTTAACTCTCTATTATGAGAGTTTCATCTCCTTAGAGGATTTTGGCCTGGTATGGTTTTACCAATAAGATAGCTCAGCAAAACCTTTGTTTTCCTATGTAAGACAGCTATGTAAGCAGTTCTGAGGGGGTTCCCTTGCTTATTCTTTATTTAACCATCAAGTTCAAATAGAACAAACCCACAATGTAACTCTGAAAATCAGACGCAGGAGTAGGGATATGGCTATGTCATATAAGAGCATGAAATTGCTTCTGTTTCAGTGGCTTCCAGAAGTACTTAAAATAGGAGGAAGGACATTTCTTTATGGTTTACAGACCAGCCAAAGCACTAAAAAAGATGTCTAAAGTCATGGAACTTTGCTCAACTTTAGGATTTTTAAGGTGAATTTTTTATCTTGCTGAAAAGAAACCTTATTCCCAGAAGTTGAAGTACATTGTATATAAATTCTTACTTGGAGAGGTAGTCTGTGGTTCATAGTGGTGTCTTTGGTGAGTCCCTATAGGAGTAACAAGTACAGAATTATGACACAGCTTTCTGTGCCTCGCAGTTACCAAGCAGTCAGACTTCTCAGTGTGCTTAGATCCTGCAGTATTTTGTTTTGCCCAAAGTCAAGCAAACAGAACCCAAATAGGTGACTGCTAACTGTTCAGTTATGAAATAAAGGGTACGAAACTCATTGTGAAATTCATTAAGTTTGTAGATAGCTTGATGCAGTCTTGAATAGGTGTAATCATACTCAGTCTAAGGTCTTTATGTTATTTTGCCCAAACTTGTGGTGACTCATCACATGCCTCTGGCTGTTGCAGTGAGTGAAAGGCTGTGGGGAGGTTAATCTTAAAAGTCAAAACTGAGGCTAAGAAATGCAATAAGAGGGTTGGAGAAGCACAAAGTTAGAGGGAGAGAAAGCAGAAAAGTGGAAAATGAAGCACAGTAAGCACAGGCTCTTGACAGTCATTTTTAAATGGATATTTGTGCAGTGTGGTTGAACAGGGACAGTTAACAATCTGAACTGTGGTGTAAAGTCTGAACCTGTGACCTCTGTGCACGCTTCACTGACCACAAGAAGAAGTGATAGGAGATGAAAGAGAACATGGAACTTTTCACAGGCTTCATCTGCTTGGTTTTTTCTCTGTCACAGTTGACTGGTAGAACAAATCTATCATTTTCAGAGCTGGTCTGCATGTTTTCACTGTGCTAGCATGCACCAAGAAGAAAACCCCGTTCTGGCTGTTGTGCTGTGTTGTGATGCATGGCAGGAGCATGGAGCCCCTGTCTCCTGGGACACCATGCCAGGCAGCAGCTTTGTCCTGCAGTGTCTTGGTGACAGCCCTGACAGACGGTTCTGTTTTTGTGGCTCACAGTTACTGTAGGTGATTGTTTCTGCACCGCTTTCTGCTGCAGGTTCAGTCACCCACATGATGCAGCTGGGGAGCTCTGGAGCTTTGTTCAGGGCATTAATTTCTTCATTCAACTTGCTTTCCCTGGTAAGATCTGTAAATGTGTTTGTCTGTGTGCGGTTTCCACCTCTGATCACAAATGATTTTGCTGTTAATGCTTGTTACTTGTTAAAAATCCAAAGGATTTTTGAATCACAGATACATAAATTTATCTATGATACACAATTTCTACCTAATACATTCACTGTCTTCAAAAGCATTTAATAATAATTCTGAAGTCTAAAAAGCCATATCTTCCCAGCAAAACCTTATACTAAATTTTTCTTTAGTCACAAAAAACTTGATCCTAGCTATAAGTAGCAGTCAACTTGCTTGATGTTAGCTCATCAAAGAAGAGTCAGTGTATATTTAATATTTAGAATATTTTGGTGTGAATTTTTGGTAGTTGAAGTACTGCTTAGTTTCATCATGAAGAGAACTATTTCTGCCATAGGTGTAGTGCTTTTCTCTCATTTGCATCCAGTCAAATAAATATCACATTTTTGGGGAACAAAGTATATGAAGATTGTTCTGCTCAGAGTTGTCTTTGTAATCTTAGAAAAATTGTATTCAGTCTGAAAGTGGAAGTCTAATACTGTGCAACTGTAGAGCAGCCACTCTGGTACGAGTGAAAGGAAATATGAAGAATATAAAAATGGGAATGGGGAAAAGTAGAAATGAAGAAAGGGGAAAAGAATGATGCAGTTCCATTTAGAAGGTTTTATCTTCTTTCAAAATAGCTCTCAAGAGACCATAAGTCATTCTGTCTCTCAGCTGAAGTGTTCACTGTGGAAGGGGAGCGTGTGGCCGGCTTGAGGAGCAGAGTCACTGCCATGGAGCTGGGGCAGCTCCTGCAGCCACGCTCGTGGGCATCCCCAGAGACCGGGGGTGCTTCAGGAGCTCTGATGTTGCTGTGCCCCTGCTTGGGTGGGCAGTGCCCCAGCAGCACTGCTGTGACCACACAGACAGTGCCTGTGGAGGAAACGTCGGATCCCGGGCAGGGAGCTGTTTTGGAGCAGACGGGTGAGCTATTGCTGTCAGCCTTTACACAGCTGTGAGCAGGGCCATGGTGGTGGTGCTGTGAAGAAGAAGAGTCCAGTCATGTGCTGTGTAACTCGCCATCCTCATGCATCAGTGGTGCTGGCGTGCCTTGAGCCGCTCACCCGCGCGTTTGTTCCCGCCTGCTTTGCATGGGGCCGTTCCCAGTCTGGGCTCAGGTTATGTGAAGACAAATGTGGGACAGATGCATCTAATACAGTTTGTCCGTACTCTGTGTCCAGTTGGCATAGTGCTTTTTAAAGCTTTATGACTCAGGTGGGTTGCATTTAACTAGGACAGTGAAAGGATTCCTTCCATTACAGTCTTCTTTGAAAGTCAAATATAAAATGCGCAATGAAGACCACTTTTCTTAAATGAAGAAACATGGCTTCCGCATGTAAAAAAACTTCCAACGTTACTGCTTTGACTGAACTATCTGAACAGCTGTCCTCTGCTACACAAACCTCCTCCTTGTTTTGGGTAAGAATAGTGTGTGCTGATAGGAGCTGGGACACGCAGCATGGCTTTGTTACAGAGCTAGAAACAGGTGCAGTTCTAGCACTTGCCATTGGGAAAAAACACAGAAGAAGAGAGGAAGGGAACATTAGCACCAGCTAGGCTATTCTGTGTGTGGGTGATAGACACCCATTTCATGTGCTACCATTAGTAGGTGTTTGTGGAGGAGATGGTGACTTGCCAACAAGGGCTCAAGCCATGTATTAAACAGCAAGGGCATTTCAGAGCCATTGATGGCCTGATTTTGGATAGAGGTTAGCAGGGTGCTGGTTCCCGGGATCCAAAGAGAGGAGCCGTGTGGAGGGTGTTGGTGATGGAGCAGGGCCCCCTCTCCCCGCTGTGGGCTCGTGTTTCGGGTGCTGTGCCATCATGCCTCTGCTCGGCCCAAGGCACTGCAGCTTTCAGGTGAAGCCTTTGTGTTTCGGGTGCTGTGCTATGCCCTGCTCGGCCCAAGGCACCGCAGCTTTCAGGTGAAGCCTTTGCACGGCCCAAGAGCAGCCCGCAGTGTCCCTCTGGCCGGCCCGTGTGTGACAGCGCTGGCACCCCGGGCTGGCCGCTGCTCCTCGCCGATCCCTGAGAATGGCTGCTGGCTTTGCAATGGAAACCTCCCAGCAACTTCCTGGCCCCTGGCACTAGATGGAGCTTCAATCTACTTGCACTTGGAAGTCTGTTAAGTTCAACGACAAGATAAAAATAGAGAAGAATACGTGAAGATATGCGTGCCTGCTGCTACACTTAAAGCGCCTCTTTCCGTGTTTTTAGCAGAGCGGTGTAAATCATAATTTAAATTTAATCTAAATGAAAATTAAAACGTTGCCACAGAATCTGCTTGTTCTAGTGCGTGCATTATAATCATTAGCACCCTTTAATGTACTCTCAGGTTCACAGTGGAAGTTGCTGTGAGTATATTGGAACTGTGCTGCAGAATTAAGGTAATGCCTGGGCTGGGCTGAATAAAGGTAATACCTTTTCTGAACAACGTACCTGGTTATATTTCAGGATGTAGAGAGGATGACCACCCTTTCTGTCTGCTGTGCTCATGCAAGAATAAATTTGTATTTTCACTTTGTGCTACCAAAGCTAACATTTCAGAATCATCTGTTTGACGTCACTTCATTTTTCCTCCATGTGTTACCCTTGAAAATACTGAACAAATAAAAACAAACAAAAATGAGCTTTGAAAATGTAGTGTTCATACTTTTCATTTAGCAAGCACCATGTCTCACAGGCCACACACGCATAGCAGAAATTCAGACCATCTCTTCCTTCCACAGGAGTAACTGGAAGTAGATTTAGTTTTGTCCTTGGGTGTCCATGATCTTATCAGCAAGAGACTGGTTTATTCAAAACTTTTGTCCAAGCACTGAAGTAGTCATAAAAGAAACTGAAGTTGGGAACCGAAATGGTGACACTCATAACAGATTTTGTCAGTAAAGCACTGAAGTATTGTTTTGTTGCTTCACTACAAAATCTGACTTTGAATTTCAGTCTTCTTCAGAGGCTTTGTGCCAACCAGCAGGAGGATAGGGACAGGTGGGGTGCCCAGAAGGCCTCAGGAGGGCAGGGAGCATTTGTGGGGTGCCTGGTATGTCCTGCAGAGATTGCATAGAAATTGTCATTGTGTTCTCCTAAAGAAAGCTTTGCTTGTTTTTTTTTCAATAAATCTGTTATTTGCCTCAAGGATGCCTGTTATGCTTGGTCTGGGACATTAGAGGAAGGTCTTTTGAAATCTCACACCTAAACTTTAAAGAGCTATTCTGTTATTTGCCATTGCACTACATCTGTCACTCGGTAGCCTTCCAGAGAAGTGGAGCTTCAATACTTAATAATTTACAAACTGTTCAACCATTTTGGTTCATCTTGATTTCTCTTCAGTGAACAAATGAGGATATGAGCCAAAATCTTTCATCCTTATCACAGCTGAATATTAGTAGGTGAGCAGACAGTCATTTTGTCATGTTGTTCCCCTCTGGCAGGGACAAAACCACTCCTTGAATACGAGAGACTGAAGCAGGACTGGACTGCCCTGAAGCAACAGGACAGATGTGCTTCCCAGGGTGTTCAGAAGATCTTTTTATGGATCTCTGAAGACTGTAGTTGCAGAAACATGGGCACTTGGGAGTTGAGGCAGCTGGCAAACAGGAATGCTGGAGCTCCAAGTCCCTGAAGTGACCAGACCCTTCTGAAGGCTGTTGTGAGGAAGAGGACGTTTGCCAGAGCAGGAATTGGACTCGAGTGAGTCTGGTCCTGCAGCCTCTGATGGCTGTTTTCTTTGTTTTCCCAGGTCATAAACACCTGTGTTTGAGCTAGTTCCAGAATGACTGGCATGAGAACAGCTGCCAGGAGCATGGAAATCCTGTGCTGTGGGTAACTTCCAAGCCAGCGTTTTCAGGGAGCTGCCACAGGAGCTGCATGTGGGGCCATGGTGTTGCTGTTAGACACAGGTGATGAGCGGGGGAGCACAGCAGGTCTGCTCCATACCCCGGGATGTGCTCCCTTGGGCAGAGACTGCTGCTGGGCCTGGGGGAGCTCTCTTGGGAAGAGGCTGGAGCCAGCAGTGTGGCTCTGCGCTGCTGGTTCCTGTTCCTAGCCCGAGCAGTGCCCGTGGCTCGGTGACCAGGGCAGCAATTGAGGAGGCACCGTGCAGAGCCCAGGGGTGGACAGGGCGCTGTGTGTGCTGAGTCCTGCGGCCACTGTCCTTTCCCTGCTCTTGGAGGGGCTCTGTCCTGGTGCACCCCCCGGTGAGTACCCAGCACAGAGCCGTGGCAGCAGCAGCAGCAGCTGCCCAGTGCTGTGGCAGTGCCCTTGGAGTGCAGCAGCTCCTCAGAACGACAGGGACAGCCACGGTTCCATGAACAGCAAACCAAGTGACCTAATTCAGCTCTCATGGGCAGCCCTCAGCTGCTCCATGGTTGCTGCACTGGAGCTGACTCATCACTTCCAGAGTGGCAGAGGTTGGAGCTTTCAGGCCCTAAGGATTTTGCTGGTTTGTTACTAATTTTAAATTGATTAAAATGAATTTTTAAAATACCAGGAGACACTTGCCTAAAGAAATGGTTATTAAAAAAATGAAGGAAATAGTTGGTCTGTGGGAGTTAACTGTGTGCTTAACAGCTGCTGGCTCCTGCAGCTGAGGACACCCGTTGCAGCTTGGAGGAGTCTTATGTCAGCTGTTCTGTCCTGGCAGATTAGCAAGAACAGGATTAATCCATCATTATTATAAAAAACTGAGAACTAGAAACTGTCCTTGCTTACACCCAGCACAACCCCCAGTGTCCTTGTCCATGGCAGAATGTTATTACAATCTCACCTACACAGCTTTGCCCAGAACTCAGGATCTCCTGGGGATGCGCATCCCTGCAGGCGCATCCCATTCCCTGCAGCTCCTCACATGGTGCCGAGACTCTGTGGGGTGGCTGTGGGCTGTCTGTACAGAACAGGCTGTGTGTGCCCTGCTCGAGCTCCCGGGGAGGGTGCCATGGCCAGGCTGGGCAGGACAGATGGGTGGAGGATCCTTTTTACCACTGTCAGAGGGCAGCTCTAAATAAGCCTCTCCCCTGGGATGTTCTCAGCGCTGTGCCCGCCTCTGCCGTGCCAGGGGAACTGCCTTACCCTGTGGAGCAGGGACATTGTTCTCTCCAAAGATTTCCATCTGCTGCAGTGTCACTGCACAAGTCAGCCTTATGCAGAGAGATGAAGCTTTTCCCTTCTGCCTCTCCCCTTTCCCTCAGGTGGGGCAGTGGGTGCAGCCCACCAGCCAGCCAGCAGCCCAGGGCTGCCCACTGCCACTAAGGATCCTTCTGTGCCATGGTGGGCTCCAGAGATGCAGGAACCCCCTTCTTGGAGGCTACAGAAACAAGGCTCAAACTCGGTAGGGATTTCTCCCTGAGAGTTCATCCTGAGGCCACCACCCCTCAGCATTCTTGCCACTGCTCTGGAGGGGTATGGGCTGCATGGTCAGGATGCCATGCAAGGTCTGGCCCTGGTGTATTGGTAGGGATGGTGCTCTGTTCCAATGAAAGTAAGGGTGAGCTCACGCAGCATAAACAGATTAATTGATGCAGTTTTTTTGGCCAGTAAATAATCACCAACAAATGAAAAATAAAAATAATGTGGGTGGGGAGGTGGAAGGCTGTATGGTACTTCAGAGAAGACAGGGCAGGAAGGTGAGAGGTGTGAAGGAGCAGAATATGGAATCCACCTGAAGGCAGTGAAGCAGCAGACATTGTCTGTCAGCCTATTTTATGTCTGTCTTAAAAAAGAGAGCTGTTCTTTCAGTGAAACCAAAGAATGAAAATTAAAAAGCAAAACAATACAGAACAATAGAAGCCTTCTGCAAAAACAATTTGACACTTCCTATTGATTGAAGTAATGGAGCAGCAAGTTTTACCAACTTGTAAAAAAGCACCTTTGGTGTGCTTTAAAAATCCTTGTAAAAGATACAGTGATGTCACTCCTGTGCTGTTCACCTGTCTGTTCTCACCTGCAGATGTCAAAAGCTGAAGTGGTCTGACCTGATGTGCCAAAGCTGAGCGTGTTTCTCCTGCCTGTGCCCTGCGCCCGTGGTGCTGCACACACACGGCTGCTGCTGTGGCTCACGGAACACCCGCCTCGTGTCGCACGGGATGGCCGCAGACGCCGTCTCTCTCCTGCATCCTCTGAGACCAGGCAGGATGGGCTCCTCCTTGGGACTGATGTCCCACCTCTGGCGGCAGAGCTCTGTCCTGGGTGGTTCTCACTTGCTGAGCTGTGCTTCCTTTGCCTTCACCTCGGGACTGGTGACCAAAGAGCAGTTTGTGCTGTGTGCCATGTGGACAGATGCTCTGTCATAGAATGTGGAGGCTTTAACAGGTTTCAATTTCTTTCCAACCAAGCTACTTTCCAAATTAGTAAATTATATGAACAAATTCCTTTTTGTGCTCAGAGAGAATCAGATTTAGTGTTTAACACAAATTAGAAAATTATGAAGTTGAGTAGGAAAAACACTGGATTACAAAATGTTCTTGCTTCATTCATTTTGCCAGTTATAATTTTAGTTTTAATTATTTATGGCACTCCAAAATGTACTAGTTAATTTACTGTAGCATATTTTGGTACAGTATTAAAATTAGTGACAGCAGAGTTATTGCAACACTTGCTGTTTACCATTTGGTGAATAATGTACACATTGATTATGCATATATTAGAATGGCTTTAAAGTATGTGTAGCTTCGGCTGGAAGGTTAAGGTGTTTTAGACATGTTTGTTCTTCATATAATTAAAAATAGTGTCCTCTAAGACCTTATCCTAAAGTAGTACATGAAATCAGTGCCTATTCATGGAAGGAAGGTTCTGGCAATGTGAAAATTCTTTCAGTCTTTGTAGGGCCAGGCCTCATCAAGCCAACATTAAAGAGCACTTCACTGTTCTAGGGGCAACATTCTTATATAAAGTTATTTTATTCCTATTTCTTTTTAGATGAAAGGGTCCAATAAGCCTGCCTTCTCAGTCTGTACAAGCTGCTGCAGCATCTGTTTAAGCACTGCTGCTGTTTATGAGAATACAGGTGTAGGGGGTGGAAAAGTGCAGTCCTTGGGCACATGAAACATAACTTTGAGAAAACAAAATGCTGTCAGGTTCACAAGGAAAACAGACTTGAAAATAAAGCAAATATTTTTTCACACTTGTTTAAGTTTTATCACTCAGCTGTGCTATTTCTAGGAGTTGTAGACATAACATTTTGCAGAAACAAATTTGACAGATCTATTCAGCTGGCAGTACTAAGTTTCCCTCTACTGATACCACATCTTGCCAACAATCCTATCCTGTGGTGAGAATTGTGTTTGGTTACCTACAAGACAACTGGCTGCCTTCATTATGCATTTCCATTTTTTTTAGCCAGAGATAAGATATGCCCAACTAGACCAGAAATTAAAACAACCCAACACGTCCTTTCTTGTTTGGTGAAAACGCGGCTCATGTTCTTAGAGCAAAGCAATTATATTCTCTGTATTTTCACAGGTTCTGCTATTTAGTGGTAATAGCTGCTGAGCATCAAAAAACCCACAACAAACAAACCAAACCAAACCAAACCAAGGATACTCTGCCTAGCAAGTGTCCTACCATACTCCCTATTTTACTACTTTTAGCCCCAGGTCCTGCTCCTGAAAGAAGAGTGATTCACCCCTTTGAGCTCTACCCACAGCCAGACTGAGGGTTGTTTTCCTGCTCACCCATAATGTGCTTCCTTTCTGTCCCTCTGCCCTTGGAATCAAGCCCCTTACCCCAAAAGCCCAGTGCCCATCGTGGGCATGGTGCTCCCCCAAGGCAGCTTGAGAGAGACACAATATGGATTTCCTTAAGTTTCCACGGAATCCATGTGCAGGGTAACATTTGGCCCATCGTATGGTATGACACCAGCTTGCAAATAATACTGCTTCTAAGCATAAAGGCTTGGGGAAATCAAAAGTTTTCCTGTTAAGGAGAAATCTGCAACACTGATTTGAGCAAACCCTTCACCATAAACTTCGGCAGGACTTAGTCAATCCAATTGGGAAGTGCAGAGTCCTGCAGTGGCTGTTGTTTTCTATATTTCTTAAAGAATTTTGTGTGTGTGTATATTGCAGAAAGGCAGAAAAATCACTGAAGGAATTGCTCTTTTTTTTCCTTTTAATTTGCTTGTAATGAAATTGAAAGTAAGGAAATCTCACCAGGAGGAACACCCACATGCAGGTACCACATGCCTGCATGCACCTACATTCAATTGATGCAAATAAGCTGAATTTAAACTGTTCTAGAGAACAAAGTAGGGCCAGCTGGAGGATTTCCTGCTGGAGAAAGGAAAAGCCTGCGGAGGCAGTGGGTCGGAATGCTGAGCAGTGACACATTCCTGATGGCTGTAAATAGTGTATGGGAGGAGGGGAATGGGAATATCTTGATTTGGTTACTTGGATTAGTGAACTCTTCCAGTTAATGATTTTTTTCATTTAGCATTCAAAATGCTTGTGGGGTTTATATTTCTTTACGTCTATTGAAAAATTTACATATACATGTACATGTACATATACACGTACATGTACATATATATATATTTGGGATGAGTTTCAGTAATTATTCATTACAAGAGGCTCCAGAAGTACTGTGTGTGTGTCTCTTGAGCACAGCAAAGCACCAGAACACACAGGAGAGGGTGTCAGGGTGGCTCTGAGCCAGGTGCCTCACGGCTGTGCAGGGTGTCAGGGTTCCACCTGGGCACACGGCTGCTGCTGCCATTCTCTCTGGACTCCGGCTTGCCCTGTTGTCCCAGGCAGCACTGGAGGCAGGGGATGAGTGACCAGAGAGTCACAGGGAGCCAGAGCCATGGCATCTGCCCCGTGTGGCTCCCGTGCTCTGCCACCACTGGCTTTCCTGCAGTGCTGACAATGGCAGGTGGCATTTGCTCCGTGAAACACCATGTGGATTTGACTGTTTCACAGACTTTTAAAGTTTCTAGTATTTCATTTACCAGGGACTAATAAAAAAAAGCTTGTTGGAGTCAAGTAAAAACACATTTAATTCAGTACTTCACTTGCAGTCTAAATCTCACCATACCTCTAATTTTAACTGTAGGCTGAATCATTTTCATCCTACTGCTTTAAAATCAGGGTTGTTCTGCTATGTTGGAAAGTACAATGCTTTTTTTCTCTCTTAGATCTGTCCTGCCAAGCTTCTATTGCTCGGTGCTCTTGGATGTAAAAATAACATACAGCCAAGGATGATTTGCACAGTTAGTTTTATTACTGTAAGCAAAATTGAAATGTAAAGGATGCCAGCATACATTATGCAGATTGATTTATAAAAAAATATTAAATGCAAAGTATTAGTCCCAGTGAAATATTTAACCTTGTTCTGACATAATTCCTCAGGGCAGAATCTGCATTGGGTGTGCAGTACAATCATTCCTCAATACTTCTCTCTGGGTTTTGTTCCTCTTTGGCTTGCTGGTTCCTCATCTGCCAAACCTTCTGCTCAAGCTGCAGTGGCTAATGTTTGTCTAATTAAAGCACTGTCTTATTCCCTGTTCTTAAAACTACCTGATTTGTTTTACACAAGTCCAAATACTTCCATTTGAGAGAGACTCTTGGCACAACAAATACAGGTGGAATAGTTGTAGCCTGGCAGTGCTATAAACCATGGAGACAGCAGTGAGGTGAAGCCCTGAAGCAGGTAGGGCTATTCCAAACACCCCATCTGCAACACCCTTGTACCTGTGGGGAGAGAGCAGAAATACAAGGGGAACACCATGGTATGTGTGTGATTGTAGCTCATCAGAAACATTGCTTCCCTGGGTCCCTGGCTTAGGATGAGCATGGCAAGACTAGAAAAACACTGAAAGTGGCACGAATCCAAGATTGAGCAAACTTGGTCTGTTTATGTACAAGATCTGGGTTGATCTAATTTTGCATTTAGAGTTTGGCTTCTTCACATGAATTTGAATTGTAAAGCAGTGACTGGTACTTATTTATTTTTACTTTGAGCTAATTTGAATCTGCATCTCAGCAACAATGTGTGTCTTTGGACAGCACAGAAGACACTGTAGTGTTCACTTCTGTAACAGAAGCGTACAGAAATGCTCTACTGATGTAGAGCTGTTTCACCTCTCAGTATGGAGAAAGTCTCAGTGCTGCCGTTCCACCTGGAAGAGGAGCCCTCCTGCCCTGCCATGGGGCCAGGCTGCCAGAGAGAGGGCACTGGAGGCAGGGAGAGGAGCCTGGCTCTCTGCTGGGCACTGGCAATGTTCCTCCCAGGCTGGCCCACGTTCCACTTGCAAGCGTTACGTGTGGACTGTGGCCTGTAACATCTTTCCTTGTGAAGCTTTGCTTCACTATCAAAAAGGCAGAACAGATTTCTGTTCACTTCCAAGTGTGAGTCAGTTTGCACAACCCCAAACCTCCAGTTTGCCAGGCTAGGTCTGGAGAGCCTCAGCAATAGTCCCTGCTTATGGAGACAGGCCAGCAGCTGTCAGCCCTGTGAGTGGGAACTACTGGTATTTTACATAAGAAAACATAACTTGGTTTTAGTTGGTTTTGTCTATCTATTTTCTACCTTTGAGTAGTTTCAGCCCCGGTTTACCAGTTTGCTAAGGCAAAGTAAAGCACCTTTCAGTCAGGTGTATGCCCTGATCAGCCTGACATCAGCAGAACCAACAGCAGGGATCTGTGGTGATTATTTGTGCTTCCAGAGGCTGTGGGATCTCCCCAGAGATCAGCCCTGTGGGATGGAGCACTGGACAAACAAAGCAGGCATGTGGGCAACAGGAGGTGCATGGGTGGTTTGTTCACTGACTGAATGCAAGGCTGTGCTGATCAGACTTGTCCTGCAGCAGCTGCATCATCTGGTTGTGCCTTTCTGTCATCCACAGGCAGGTGTTGGCCACAGAAACAGCCTGTGCTTCATTGCCAGCTCCCTAAAAGCTGCCACCTGAAAAGCTAGTTGTGTATTTGTAGGCATAGACTTATCTGTTGTTGAAAAAGACACTTGTACAATTGTATCCCCACCCAGCCAGGCAGACACAAGCGTCTGCTGCCCTAGTGACTGCTGCCCTGCTGCATCCCATATTGCCCATGGAGCATTTCCAGCTCTTGCAAACGGACGGTGGTGGAGCACAGAGCAGCATTGACTAATGTCACTTGTCAGGTGCTTCTGAAGGACAAGATGGGGCTCAGTGTTTGGAATACACTTCAAAGGATATCTTCACCTGAATTCCTCCATGGCTTCAGCACAACAGTAGAAACATCTTCGTAGAAGCATCTCTTCCTATATTGAAGATAAATTTATTAAGGGAAATGTAGACTACAATGAAGTAACACTTAAAAATATCAAAAAGAAAACAAAGATGGATTCAGTGAATAGTCCATGTCAGAGCAGGGCTTCAAATAGGAGTTCCCTTTGTGCACCACCTCAGTCTGGATGAGGTAGACAGTTTATCCAAATTGAGTTAATGAGGTAACTGATTTGTCAGATTTGTGCAATAACAGGGACAACTGTGTGACCGATAAAGGGGTGAGATGAGAAGAGGTGTGGCTGTTCTGGGGCAGAGGGGAGAGTGAGTCACTGACATGTGCTCCGTGGTAAATGGAGAGCCAACGCAAGTGATTATTGGCATTCAAAAGCAGTTAATCTGGTCACTTGGACAGTGCCAGTTTGCATCCTTGTCTTCTGAAGTGGTTCATTCTCCTATCTGTAAAATGGTTGTGACAGTCCCTGCTCAGCAGCCTTGCTATACCATGTGTTTGCAGTCATGGCTAATGTCACTGTTTGAAGTGACTTGTGGCTGTTGCTTTCCTTGGAATTGCAGTATTTCTGCTCAGCAAAGGTACAGCTAACCTAGAATAAAGGAGTGAAATCAGCAAGTGTGAGATTATGTGGTGCACAGGAAGAGGAGGCAGCTCATTCCAATAAAGCATGCAGTGGCATGTTGAGGTGGAGCTGTGAATCCAGGCTGCAGGATGCAATCTAGGATCTGCCTGGGCTTTGAAACTGGATGTGGCAATCGGACAGCAGTCGTGTTCTCAGCTGTTGTGGCTGGCAGTATTTTGAAAAACAGCTTTGACACACACATGCATAACTGATGACAATGGCCTTGTGAATGTAGATACAAAACAACCAGTCCCGACCCCAGAACGCAGCAGGTGGTGACTGGTTTCTCCTTCGTGGAAACTCCCACTTATTGCCGCCTCTTCAGGGAGGCTGAGGCCGGTGTCCCAGGCAGAGCCGTCTTACAGACTCATAGAATTGTTTAGGTTGGAAAATATCTCTAGGATTAAATAGGCGGTTTCCAGGTGTGATCTGTGGTGTGTTCTGATTCTGAAGTATGGATGTGGGGGTAAGATGTGCAAATTGGAGCCTTCTGTTCCAGAGCAATGAAATCCTGCTGTGGTGCAGCAGCAGAGCTGATGGCTTCCCGAAGTCACTCTTGGCTGCGGACAGCAGCCGAAGCACTGTGGGGCAGCCGGACAGAGCTGAGAGGGCGCGGGCCGTGGGTGCCTGCTGTCGGCGGGGAGGGAGCGGGCTGGCGGTGCCGCAGGCCCGGTGCTCTGCCAGCAGAGCCAGGGAAGGCCTGGCGGCAGCTGCCCTGAGCTCTCCTGAGCGCGGCCGGACCCGCCGGGCCCGCCTGGCTGCAGCTCCCCTGAGCACGGCCCGACCCGCCGGGCCCGCCTGGCTGCAGCTCCCCTGAGCTCTCCTGAGCACGGCCGGACCCGCGGGGCCCGCCTGGCTGCGGCCGCGGCGTGCCCGGGGCAGAGGGGCCTGCGGCGGCCCCGGGCGTGCCCCTGAGTGCCCGCTGTCCGGCCCGGCCGGGATGGCCTAAGTGCAGCTCTGGTGCCCGGCAGCCCGGCTGCCGTGCCGCGGGGCCCCGCGCTCCGGGACGGCCTGGCGGGATTGTGGCAGCGCCGAGCTCCGGGCCGCTGCGCTAAGCGGGGATCTCTCCTGCACGGCTGGGCTGTGTCCTGCGCTGTTACCGGGCGGAGCTGCGGTGAAACATCGCTCTGCACATCGCACATACTGCGACAGGGGCTGTCGTTAACTGTGGGAGTGTTCTGCTGTACACCAGCTCCAGACCAAACAGGGCTCAGCCTCCTCCTCCGCTCATGCAGGGATGTTGGGAGGATGAATCTCATCAGGTGTAGCAGCATCCAGACACCTCACAGGCGTTCGATTACAGTAGCGTCTGCCTCGTTCAATGCCCAGAGGGATAAAATAACTAAGGAGATGCTACCTTTTTTTAAAACACTATCTCTCCTTTATTAGCTGGGTTAGAGTCTTTGTTCCAAACACAGTCCAAGCTGCCTTTGAAATCAGCAGTGTAACTGCATCCTCATGCACTGCATCATTTCCTCTCTTTTTCATAGAGTCTCGCTGCGTTTCTCCCTTGCCCAAAGCGAGAGCCTGCGGGCGTTGGCGGCGCCGCGGTCTGCCAGGAGAGCGGGGAGCGGAGCCGTGCCGGGATTAAGTCACTCTCGCAAGGTCACGCGGTGAATCGCTGCTGCTGCTGCCAGGAATAGCGCCCCGAGTCTCTTGGCTCTCTCAAGCCCACCCGCAGCACTCCAGCCTCCTTTCCTCGGTGAGCATGATCTGATTCATAATGCAGCAGCTCTGCTGTGAGGCTGGCTACCTCTGTGATCCTGCTGCAGCTACAGAGGAAAGCAGCCAGGCTCAGGCAGCAACAGAGATTTGCACATGCCTGTAGCAAAAAGTGTAAACCTCAGAAATGGTATTTAGCAGCTTATCTTATCTACAGATAAGCTCATAAAATGTACTGACTGGTTGAAAATAGGTTTTAAAGTTCTTGGCAAACATCTCGGGCTTTTTATTCTTTGTTTTTTGCTGCAGTACAAAAATACCATTTCAATTATTCTTATTAGCTTTTTCTGGTCTTTTTGGAAAAGGACCAAATTATTGATGGGTGTTTTTAGCTTTTAATTATGCCTCAAGTGCTAAACTTATTCCTGCTATTTGTTTGCAATATGTTTAGGCTATGTTTAGGCAAATGCAAATGTAAGTGGTTATTCAGTGCCTTTGGCGCTGTGAACAGAATGTACTGAACTCCTGGGGCTTGGTACAAAGCCTCAGCCTCCAGCACTAACAAAGCCTGTGCAGGCAGCAGCTAAAATAGGAGAACTACCTAGGCTTGACAGAGGGGGTTCAGAAGAGCTGGGAAGACCATGAATCATGCACCTAGCTTTTGTTCTATGGACTGGGTAAGCGACATAAGGGCATTTTTGCCTGTGTCCTGTTAGCTGAGGGTGAGCCTGCACTGCTGGGGCCTGTGGAGCCTTTGCAATGTGCAGCTCGGCAGCAAGGCTCCTCTGGGTGTCCTGACAGTCAGCGTCCCCTGGAGCATCGTGGAGGCTTTCCCTGGCCAGCTGGAAGCGAGCGAGCCTCGGTGCCGCTGCCTGCTGCGTGGGCACTGCCAGCAGCTCAGGATTTCTACACTTGTTTGCCTGTTACCCAATCTATTTCAAGCTGTGACGGAATAAGGATGGCATTTGATTGCAGTACAGTGCACAACTGCTTGGCTTTTGTAACCCATGTTTTAAATGGGAGGTTTTTCTATGTGTGCTTTTGTCTTCAAATAACTTCAGGCTCGTAGGTTTAGGCTTGGTGCTCTCTGCTGGCCTTTGCTGTGGCCTGATGAGACAGCTCACGGCTCTCGCTCCAGAGGGTGCTGGGTTGCTGAAGTGAGAAGCCCTCAAAGGAAGAGGGTAGTGATGACTGCGGGGCATATAGAACAGAGCCTCCATCCTGGTCTAGGTCTCATGATGGAAATAAGGATGTCTTTGTAACTCTTTTTTTTTGGCTGGGCTTTATTTATGTGTGTCTGTGTCTACAGTGTGTCTGTGTCTCCTGATCTTATGATCCAGAGGTGGCATGCTCTGTAAAGACTTCAGTATCTGGTGCTACAGGATAAGTCTCTCCTGACATGGCATTGGTCAGTTGCTAATGCTGAGTCTAACACTGGTTTTTTGTGTTCATGTGCCTCTAACAGCAGAATAAGTGGCCTCCATCTACCACATACATGCACCTAAAACTGGTGTTCTGTTGTACCCCAAGTCTGAGACTTCTGCAAGCAGCCTATCAGGCAAACTTGGCCCCACAGTTTTCAGTGGATTAGGTACATTGATGGTTATAGTGCAGCTTAGTCTCATGTCACTTGTTTCAGTGCTGTGGGGAGTGAGGCAGCAGGCTTGCTGCTTCCTGCAAGTGAGTGCAGACAGGAGATGGATGTTTGCCATCCGGAAGGAAAACCGGGACTGGCATAGCAGGTAGTCAGTCAGTCATGAGAAAAGGTTAAAAAAAGCACTTGGAGGAGAGGGGAATGAACTACAGAGAGGCAGTGATCAGTCATAGATGTCTTTTGTCTCCTTATATCATAACCTGAGAAACTCTGGAAAGCAAATGACCAAAGCTGCTGCTTTAGGCTGTCTTTCGGTGAAAAGGAAAGCCATGGGCCATCCCTGCTTTATTCGGAGTGCCTTTAAAGGCCTGTGTTGATAACTGATATCCATAAAACAAACATGCATTGGTTGTCATTTGAAATTAGATTTCTGCCCATATATTCTTTTGCTCTCCTGTTTCGATGGCAAATTTTTTTATAAAAACTTTTGATTTTATATTTCCAAGCTGCACATACAAATACCAGATTTGGGGCAACTATGTACCTCATTCGTGCACACAAATATCTGATACCTGTGACACCCCAAGACTGCAGCCCTCTCCCAGCCTTGAGAGCCAGAGCCCAGGGGCTGCTGAGCCATTGTGCAGGCTGGTGCTGCGTGTGTGTCAGACAATCACCTGCACAAAGCGAAATTTTAGCTGATGAAACCTCCACCTGTGTATAAGGTAGGTCAGAGTTAAATCTGGAATGGCTGGTATGTTAGAGTGAACTACAGTTTGTGCTGTTGGGGCCCCAGGGATAGCTCATTACTGCAACTGCTATTTCCCCAGAAAAACTTCTCTTGAAGTAAAGAGGAAAATTGTAGCAATTTGGCCCAATGCAAGTACATGATGCCCCAAAATCTAACTGTGCAGTCACTAAAGAGAAGGCTGCTTGAGTCAGCTTCTAGTGAGAAGTATACAAAGAATTTGATCCTTAGAAAATATAGCTAATTCACTGTTTAATTTTAGAGTACAGCTCCTCTACTACAGATGCTATCTGAGGGACCGCTCAGAACCATTGAAGCCAAGGCTAGCATCCTATCTTATCCTGGTTTTACTAAATCAGATTTAGGGCCAGTAAGACCCAATGGGTCTTATTCTTACATGTACTTTATTGCTGTGTCCTTTCTGTTGATTTCAGGGTTATGAAGCTTTCTGCAGCAAGATTTGAAGCAGCCAAATTCCAGCTTAGATCAAAGTCCCTAGGATTCACTTGTGATTTCCGGTAAGGCTTCTTTATGGTATTCCTGATTCACATTTTTAAGTAATAAGGTTTTATTGTGTATGAAATGTCATAGGAATGTTCTGTTGACCTTTCAAAAACTTGTTACACTTCAGTGTCTTTTCCTTGGGATTTCCAAAACAACCTGTGTTCCGTAAAAGCAATTCCTCACAAAGCTTTGGATGTGTTTTCCAGCACTTCCTGAGGGTATCCCTGATCCAAGCTCTGCTTTGGTGGGAGTGCATGAGAAACTGAGAGACTGATTGCTTTCTGCAGCTCACCTTCATTTTTCCTCTTGTGTTAAGGGCCATAAAGCAGAAAAGTAATTGAAAAATGGGAGCTGAAGATAGTGCTGCATATGTTCTTGTGGGAGCTGGTTGCCCTTCTTACTCCTTGCCTCTTTACTCAGTTGTTATGTATTTGTATTGAAAATGGAGGATTTTTATCTAGCTGAGGCAGGTTGGCTGGTGGCCACCAGTGGCCCAAGGGCTCCTGGTCCTGGATAGGCCACTTGTCCTGTGGCACTTGCAGCAGCTGGCTCTGGGTGACCAACTTGCTTTACTTAGAAGGCTGAAACATGCATGGGCTGTGACACCATAAACTGAGCAGCTGATTGCTTTGGAGCCTGCAAAGCACAACAGAGGGTTGAGTTTTGTTGCATTTTGAGCCTGTAGAAGGCAAAAGTAACACTCTGGCATTCTTTATTTGTGTGATCCCAGGATGGAGTATGGCAAGAGCGTTGGTGGGAGCAGACAATGCTTGTGCTGATAGCAGAGGTTGAAGTGTTTCCTGTCATGGAAAAGATGAACAAGCCAGTTCCGCATCAGCTTTCTTTTCTGAGACTTGTGAGTACTGTCAGTCTTGCTGCTATTTTAATACATGAGCTGCTGCCCTGAGTGGGATTGACACCATTGCTGTGCATGGTCACCTGCCCAGAAATGGATGAAGGGAGAAGAGTGCATGAGCCTCCCAGTGCTCCCTCCTCTTGTCTCCTGCCCTTCACAATTTGCTGTGTTGGGAACTGCTGGACATACAGCAGGGGCAGGAGAGACCAAGGTGGCAGCAGAAGAGAGCTGCTTTTTTTCCACAGGTGTTCTGAAAGGGGCAGCTGGGACATAAATCTGCTTTGGTGCATCTGAGACACTCAGGTCTCTTTTATTGTCAAAGAGGGAAGATGGCCTAATTAAACGAGGTGTAGTCATTGTCAACACCCATGATACATCTCCTGAGCCAACAAATACCCCTTGCAGTGGATGTCAGTGGGTACAGAACTGGACTGCCAAGAATCTTCTTAGAATTTCATTTCCTTTTGCTTCCTTGGGAGCAGGATCTTCTCACAGCCACCTTTAGACAGAATGAACTGCTCTTCTAGAGAGTGGTGGATCCTTAACAGGCATGGTTGGTCTGTTTCCACTTGGTTTCACCTGTGCTATCCAGCTTGCTCAGCAGTGATACAGCTTTCTACAGCTTGGTACCTTCAAAGTCTTTTCAAGTATGAGGCAGGTACTTCAGGAAGAGAAGCAGTGATTCAGTGCTAAAGCTGCTCATTCTTTATATGTTCCTGTGTGTCTTTAGACACTCATGCACATCTCTCCAGCATCTTACATCCTTCTCCTCTTTAGTGTTTTATCTCCCTTCTGCTCTTTGGTGCTCCTTGTCTCTTGCCAGCTCTCTGCTGCAGAGGGGAGGACGCTGAGGGGAGTGCTGTGGATCAGCCTCATCTGGCATCTCCAGGGGCACTGTGTGTGTAGAGCTGAGTGCTTCAGGAAAGCCTCTTCTCCTCCCACAGCCCCACCATACATCCATGTTCTTGCTGCTGCCTCCTGCAGCACAGTCCATGCTTTGGCCTTCCCATCCCTTCTGCAGCAGCTGCTGGTGAGCAGCCTGTTTGCTGTCTGGCAGCATCCACGGTCCCGATTCTGTTTTCTCTGTCATTCATTGATGGGTGAATACCTTGTGCAAGCTCCATGCCCACCTGTCTGGAAATCGTTCTCTGTCTCTGGCTGTGAGTGAGATCTGCATGTTTGGTTCATCTTCCACTTCCTGGCTCTGATTCTCCTCCCATTCCTGAGCAATGTGGCTCTGCTGCACGCGTGAAAATTGTGCAGGGGCCAGGCTGGAGTGAGCCAGGAACATTCATCCCCCAGCACCTTACAATCCTCACAGGTACTTGAAAGAACCAGTGAAAGTGGCTGGTGTCCTGAGTGTGCAAATGCACACACATGGAGTGTGACAGATGAGCCAGTTGCCCATTTTTTGGTGAGGTGAGTAAAGCAGGTGTATGCAGACAGGCAGGGTTCTACTCAGGAACCCTCCTTTGTGCATGAGGCTGCTCCAGTTTGTCCCCAGTGCCACATTACTGCTTGTGAGCCTCTGCCCTGGGCCTGTGGTGAGAGATGAGCAGCTGGCAGGAAGGTAGCAAGAATGTGCTGCTTAAACATCGGTTGCTAATGGCTGTGTTCCAGTCTCCAGATGTGTGGCTGCTCTGGGATGCCGGGAGCTCCCTCTGTGCTGTGGCAGACAATTCCATTATTAGCTTAGTGGCAGCTTTCCATATGCCAACACTCGTGACTGCAGCACTGTTTAATTTTCACTGCTCCAAAGTATTTAATTTGTCAGTTGTTAGCTTCTGCTTTGTAAAGATCAAATGCCAAAGTCCTTACCTAGATTTTTACCCACTTAGGTGTGGGACATGGATTCTGTATGAATCCATGGATTCAAACAGATCAGAGGCAGCATAAGCTCTTGAATTCAGAAATTCAGTCACTTCTAGGCTAATCTGTAGAAACTCCTTGTCTTCATGGATGGGTGTCCAATCTCCCTTCTGTTAATTTCTATTTGGAGAAATGAAAAGTCAGTACTGCTAAAACCACTGGCCACTCACATTTTGAAGCTGGACTGTGCAGATAAGGCGTGTGGTTGTGAGTGCCTGACTGAAGGTTTTGGCCCCTCTCTAGTGTGGGGAGCTGCTGCTGCTGTGAGCATCCTGCAATTCACTGCTGGGGGCCTGTCTTTAATTATTGAGTGCCAGAATAGATGTATATTGAGTTACCTTGCTGGCAAATATAATCTCCAGCATCTTGTGTAACTGCAATATTCTCAGTTTTCGTACCTGCATAACATGGTCTTCTTCAAAGAATCTGACACAAGACAAAATATGGTTTTATATATTGCTTGTCTAGCAGTACATGTTTCCAGAGAACAACAGGTTGCACACTGGCTTTGAGGGTAGCCTTCCCTGGCAGCATGGATTGCTCTTATATACAGTCAAGCCTGCACTTGGATGTGCAGCAGAATGAAGCAGGATGTGCATGGTGCCCTTTTAAACCAAACAACCGAACCAAAAAACCAACCTCCAAAAAATTCAGAAAAAAGAGAGAGCAGTCTAAGCCAGCACAGCTTTATGAGAAGGAAGTCCTGCTTATCAAACCTGATTTCCTTTTATTACAAAGTAACCCACCTAGCTGATCAAGGAGAGTCACTTGATGTAATCTCTTGAGATTTCAGTAAAGCTTTCAATACTGTCTCTGATAACATCCTTCTGGACAAACTATCCATCTCACTGCTGGATAAACATGTCATGGGATGGGTGAGCAGCTGGCTCACGGTCAGGTGCAGAGGGTGGCATGAGACTGGCACCAGTCCCTTAGTGGAGTTTTGCAGGGCTCCACCCTTGGCCCTGTGCTCTTCAACATCTTCATAAATTACTTGGGTGCAGGACTGGGAGGATACTAAACAAGTTTGCAGACGATAAAAACTGAGAGGAGCTATTGACTCCCTCAAAGGCAGGGAGGCCTGCAGAAAGACGTCACCAAATTATAGGGCTGGGCAATCACCAAACTTGTGAAGTTCAGCAAGGGGCAGTGCCAGATTCTGCACCTGGAATGGGGCACCCGTGGATCTGCGGCTGGCTGGGCAATGAGGTGCTGGAGAGCAGGGCCTGGAAAGGGCCCTGGGGTCCTTGCTGACAGAAAGATGAAGATGAGTCAGCAGTGCCCTGGCAGCCGGGAGGGCCAGGCTGTCTGGGGGCACCAGCTGGGCAAGGCAGGCATTGCCCTGCTCTGCTCCGAGCTGGGGCAGCCCCACCAACAGCCCTGGACACCACAATACAAGAACGGCATTGAGCTGTTAGTGTCAAAAGGAGGGCAGTGTGCTGAAGGGCTGTGAGGGAAGCCAGGTGAGGACTGCCTGAGGGCTAAGCCTGGAGAAGAGGAGACTGAAGGGAGACCTCATCCCAGTCTACAGCTTCCTTATGAGGAGAGGAAGAGGGGCAGAAGGTGATCTCTTCTCTGTGATGACCAGTGGCAGGACCTAAAGGAATGGCCTGAAGTTGTCAGAGGAGGTTTAGGTTAGATATCAAAAGAAGTGTGTGGTCAGGCATTGGAACAAGCTTCCCAGAGAAGTGGTCACAGCATCAAGCCTGACAGAGTTCAAGGAGCATTTAGGCAATACCTTCAGGAACATTGTGTGATGCTGCAAGACCAGGAGTTGGACTCCACAGCCCTTGTAGGTCCCTTCCAACTCAGCATATTCTGCGACTCTGTGGATTTTGTTCTCACTGCTCTGAAGTGTTCCATTTGTGAGCTGTTGCTGTAGAAGACCTGGCTGACATGTCTTGATGGGGCTGCAGTGGAAGTTCTGGCCAAGTGGTGCATGACTCCAGAGGCTGCCAGCACCCGTGCAGCTGTACTGGTGTCACTTGCAGGGCACTTGGAGATGGAAGTGGGGAGAGAAAATCAACATACACATCTCTAATTTTTCCATCTTGCAAAGATGCAAATGGTGGCCAGTGTCCCCTCATCCCTTCTCTGTCCTGCTGCCACACACAAGCTGCAGGCACCAGAGCTGTGAGCCATGGATCCCTTGACCTTTGGTTCCTGTAAAATCCTCTGCATAAGAAGTCTCCAGTGCTCACAGCCATGATACAAATTTCCGTATGTTCTTTCTAAGTATGGCAAGCAAACCTTGCCCTTCCTTATTTTGCAAAAGAAATAAAACTGGTGAATTCCATGTAATCCTGATGTCAGTTAACAAAGGAAAGAAGCATTACCCAATGCCTAAATGGAAGAAAAGGCAGTACTGTGGTTAGTCGAATACCTTTGTTAGTCCCAAGTTTGAGAGAATTGCACGAGTGGGCAGGAGCGGTGGGCCCGAGCCCCTGCTGTGTGACCCGCGGGTTTGTCCCTGCAGCAGCGGCGCTGGCAGCGTCTCTGGCGAGAGCAGGGAGGCAGGGCTCCATCTACCGCTGGGCGGGGAGAAGGCAAAAACAGCCAGGACGGCAAAGCCACTGGCTGCCGTGAGCTGCGTGCGCCTTGCTTTTTCTCTTCTTTCTCTTTCTTCTTTTTTTCTTCTCCCCTGTGGTTTCCAGAGCCCTTCACTTCCAATCCAGTTCCCTGACTGGGACATTGTGCAGGTTTGTAGCTGGGAACAGTCCCCGCTTGTTCATCATGTCATGTGAGGCTGGAGAAAACAGCCTGGAAACAAAGTGACTTGCACACACATGCACAGAATTGGAAGCAGAATCTGAGATGAACCTCGATTTCCAGTCTGTTTATCTGATAGGATGGGGTTCATGCTCTTGCTCTGGATGTTGAACACAGAGAGTTCTTGGAGGGCTGCAGGAACAAGAACAGGATCAGGATAGTGCTCAGTTCTGGGGCTTGTTGCTTGATCTGCCAGTGCTCTGCCTCTGAATCTCCTGTCCTTGCACAGCCAACATGTTTCTTCTATACTTACCTATGTGCAGACATTTATATAACAATGGAGCTCTACATGAGCCTTAGGGCCTCTTCTGCCAAGCATGGGGATGCAGTGAGGGGTGTGAGCTCAGAAACCAGGCCTGTATGCAAGTTCTGCAAGCAAATTTGGTTCTCAATACTTTCAGCTAAAATCCTACTCCTTGCCTTGCAGATTGCAGCTGAATTGTGGACCAGGTTTGTCCAGGGCAGCTGTGGCTGCCCATCCCTGGAAGCGTTCAAGGCCAGGACAGCCTTGGGGCAGCCTGGGATAGGGGCAGGTGACCCTGCTGGTGGTGGGGTTGGGGGACAAGATGGTTTTTACAGGTGTCTTCCAACACAAACCAGTCTGTGATTCTATATTGAAAACAGAATATTTTCCCCTGCCCTTGATATCTGCAATCACCTGAGTTAACCCCTCTGTGCTGGGTGAGATACTGTTTTACATACCTGGTACTGCTCAGTTTGAATAACCCCTGAAGGATAATGTGTGCAGTCTCGTTCTAGGAAAAAAAAAGGCAGATTTTAGGATTTAGAATACTAGGAAAAGGTGCTAATTTCTCTTTGCAAGTGATTTGCTGGTAGTGAGAACCCATCATTATTCAATGCTTGCAAGGAACATGAGAAGTGTCTGGATTCTTAGGCCTCCACAAAAAGTTAACTGATAGTTCTGCACTGATGGCAGGAAGAGTTTGAGCTTACATTATTTGACTGGGAGAGCTTGTCTCAAGTTATGTGAACAGATGTTTCAGATTTGAGTTCAGCCTGGCAGAAAAGGGATATCAATCTAGTCCTCCGCATTTCCCATCTTCTGCTTGGGGAAAAAAAATCATAATTAAGTTTCTTTTTTTCCTTTTAACTGGATTTTTCTTTACTGCGAAACCAAAATGCATACTCTCCTGGAAAGGAGGCGAGATTCACTTTTATCCAACCCAGTACTTAAAGCTTTTCACGTGTTTGCTCAGCTGCCTTGTATTTGTCAGCATTTTCATGTGTGGAGCTGCAATTATCTCTGAAAAACATCACAAAGAATTAAACACCCCAAAACCTCCCTTTAGTAGACATGGTCTGCTTTCCACATTTTGGTGCATTACACAGCCAGGCAGGCCTTTGTGTAGTGGCTCATGTGCTGCAGCAAGAGGAATGTAAAAAAAAAAACCAAAAAACTTCTTCTGACACAGCTGTCAACAATTAAACTGTGTGAGGCTTTGCTCACAGAGGCTAGGGAGAAGCCCAGGGAAATCTGAAAAAGCTTTCAAGAGGAAGCACTGAAAACACATGCCAGAAATCAAGGAATAGATTGCAGATGACAAATACACATCTCCACAGACTATCGGGGAAGAATTTGGTTTGACAGTGGCTGTGGAGCCATGGAGCTGTGCTGGATGGGGCTGAAGGTGGCAGTGAATGGAAATAATTAAGCCAGATAAGCATGCCCAATACTGACTTTTATGGGAGAATTCATCCATGTATTCAATGGGCAGATCCCACAGATGGCTGGAAGGTGGAGGGCCCTCCACTCCTGCTGATACTGCTGTGCAGCTTTTATAGCATGCCTGCTGTCTGCAAGCCTTGAGGACCTGTTTTAGGGCAGAAGATGGTGTTGTCACCCGCAGCTTGGGGACAGGGCATCGCAAGGATCAGCTGGAGGTGGAGAGCAGCAGGTGTGGCACTGGAATGACCTGTTGTAACATGCCGGTCCTTGGCACATCCCTGCAGGCCTGGAGGAGATGGGCTCTGCCCTGAGCAGCAGATAAAGAGATAAGAGGTGAGAGGAGCACCTGCACACATCAGCCTGGGAGCCACAGGGAGGCCCTGCTGCCAGGCATGTGGGCACAGGCTGTCCCACCTCCTCTCTTGGGCACAGTGAACTCCCAGTGACTAAACCTGGCCTCAGCAGCATCTTGGAGGCCATGAAATCTTTGGGACTGGAGGAAGGTGCAGAGCACCTGTATGTTCTCCTTGGAGCCAGTGCAGCAGAGCTGTCCCCACACTCAGGACGGCCTGGCCTCAGGTGGGAGCTCTCCTGGCAGCAGGGCAGCACAGAAGGAGTTGGTTGATTATAGTCCCTTGTTTACATGGTAGCAGAGTCACGCTGGAGGCATGGTGCAGACCCTGGAACTTGGCTGCTGCTGCTGCAGCCGTGTTTGTAGCTTAGGCCCTCAGCTTCCCAGGGATTTCAGTGCTGTGTGATGTGGAAGTTGCTCACCCTTTCCTTGGTCACTCCTTTTTCCCACAAAGTGTCTGCTGAATTCTGCCAAATTAATAATTTATTCAGCTCTTTCACACGCAGCCCGTGGTGATGCAGCCATGAGCAGAGCAGGTCTGAGCAAGGCTGGGAGTTCCCCAGGCCCCAGAGAGGACTGGAACTGTCCTGGTCTCCTGGGGAGAGCGTGAGCTGGTGGGAGATGGGATCTGCAGGGCACAGTGAGCGGTCTGAAATCACATCTAAAATAGCTGAACCGTGACATTTTCTCTTGACAGCAGTGGTGAAAGGCCACAGACGCTTCCTTTCTGTGACTCAGAAGCTTGCAAATCTTCTTTGATTCACACCTTATAAGTAAAATTAGCCTGTGCCTCACTGCTGCCAAACTCTTTCAAAGCAAAGATGTTTGTACAAAGGAATTCAGCAACAGAAATGCAATTCACTTGTGGATCAGATTATTATTTCTGACTGGAAGCAGTATCAGAAATGCTTGCAGGGATTTCCACTTTGCTTTTGAAAAGATGTCCATATTGTTGGTAGAAAAATAGCTACTTGGGAGGATAATTCACATATGTTAGGGGACAGGGAGAGGAATGAGCCCCATGAGGCTGCTGCAGTGATGAGTACAAGAGTTCAGCTTTGGCTGTAACATTCAGTCACTCTGAAACAGGGATCTTCAGCTGTTGTTATTGGGAATGTTGTGACGTGAGCTGCAATTGCTGCTGCTCAGCAGGACATTTCCAGCCCTGGGCCTGAGCTTTCACCCAGCACATGGGTCTTTATGCTGCTTATGCCTTGGCATCCCAGAGAGCTGTCAGATGCATTCCTTGCATGTGGGGATTCCTCAGGTGAGACTTAATGGAGAGAAGGATTTTGTTGATTCTTAAGGCAGCGATTGTTTGTGACACTGATGAATGTGATGTTACCTTGAGATATGAACTCACCATCAGCTGTGAGCATCAGTCAAGAAAAGATCTGGCACTTAAAATCCATGCTGTTCACAGTCTGTGTTTTACAGCCAGCTGTAACTGAAGCCTCAGTTCCCGTGATGATGCTCCTGGGGCACAGCCCGATGGCATCTGCAGAGTGGGGCATGGAGAACAAGGGACCCCGAGCCACAGGGAGGGACTGCAGCCCCTGCGCCCCTCTCCCCATGGAGAGACAGCAGAACATCATGGTGCCCTCAGAGCCAGCACAGCGCAGACATCTCCAACAGGTGAACTGCCAGGGACAGCCTGGGACAGCGGGAGCTGTGGGCTTTAATGCAGAAACTCGTTTGCTCATAATCTGTGGGGAAGAGTTTTGGAACAAAGCCAAGAGTGCTCTGATCATAATCTGAAATACTGATATAATTGGTGGAAGGAATGGATGTCTGTAGTGTAATATATATAATATACATGCAGACATTTTTCTTCCTGGCACACCAAGAGTTGTAAACCAAATGAGTACTAAAGCAATTTACTTAAGAAAAAGTTAGGCACATTGCACTGGAAATAGGACTGATTGTACTACTTTACCCCAAGATAATATACTCGATATCTTTGGGTGTCAAGTGAAGCCTTTCTAAACAATGACCTGTTTATGTGGCCATCTTGGCCAGGTTTGTTCTTTCTCCTTGATGAACAGTGCACAGATAAGGGGATCTCCAAGGAGTGAATTTTTTTGCCTTTTGGAAATGTGTGTGAAAGGGACAGCAGCATATGGACTTGGCATGCCCCAGGCATGGCTGTGGGAGCCTGGAACATTTCGTGCCTGCAGCAAGTGTGGGAGAAGGGAGGAGGAGAGTGGAGCTGTGTGGTGATGGCAGTGAGTTACCTCTGAGAGCAGGAGCAGGGGGCCAGCCTGACCCAGTGTTCATCGCAGCTGACGTGGGGAGCAGGCCTCAGACCATGCTCCTTCCTTGCCTCATGGGTCGCAGCAGAACCGGGAGCTTCTCTTGAGTTGCCACAGGCAGCATCTCGACCAGAGAGTGCAGATAAAATTGCTGGCCACAGCAAAATCAAGCCAGGTGCTGAAGGAAGGGACAGAAGGTGGGCTGGCTTTGGAAGCACAGCTCTGTCAGCAGTCAGAGCCTTCAGCTGTGACTGGAGGCAGAAGCATGCTGCAGCTTTTCCGAATGTACCACTATAAGATGTTTTTATGGATCAGAGACTCCAAATATTGTACAGAACAATGAACTAGAAATGAGACCATAGAACTCTTGCACAAATTGCAGATGAGCACAGGGCAGGTGAGCATAGCACAGCCAGGTGGGCACACACAGCACACATACACAGAAAGCCTGAAAGAGGCTGCACATGGCCATATCCTGCACAGCAAGTCTTCAGCACATTGTCTAAGGCACAGCTTGCAGCTGTAATGGCAGTGTATTTGGTCTCTCATTATGGATCTTGGACAGCAACCCATTCAACTTGAAAATAACTTGTACAGTTAAATAGGGTGTGTTTTTCTGTGCTCCAAATGTGTGATGCACCCCAGGGAGGTCCAGTGAAAGCTTCATGTGCCTTTCAGTAGGTGTTATTGCCCACCTTAACAGATGTTCTGATTCACGTTCAAGGAGTACTGATAGAGGCTTGGGCCTGTGTCCCACTGACACCCTGAGCAGATGCTTTTAGTCCCTCACTTTTTAATGTTGGTATCTCCCCGTTTTTCTTGGAGCAGCAGCAGCAGCACTGGTCTGGCCTCACTGTCAGGTGTACCTGCACGAAGGTCTGGTGACACGGCGCCATGGCCTCTCCCGTTTCTGCTGGACGGTGTTGTGTCTGTTCTGCACTGGTGATGGTTCCCAACCCTGGCAGGGAATATCACATCCCATTTTTGTGAAATGACACTGATTTGCAGATACACAGTCTCTTCCTAGGGCTATGCCTGCCCCAGTAACTGCTGGGAACCCCACAAGCCCTGGCAGAGGTGGCAGAACTCCCCTGTGCAGAGCGGGCCAGGCTCACACAGTGCTTGCTCGTGGAGCAGGGAGAAGCATGAATGGGAGCAGATTTTAGGTTTATTTTAGTCAAGAAAATCCAGGGATATTAATTACTGAGCTGTCATCAATTTCAGTGACTGCAGAACCCAATTAGCCTCTAATTTTAGTTTCATGCTAATGCCATTGTCAGCTCTTTCCGTACCACAGGTGAGGCAGTCTTAGATGTGGCTCCACAGTTGCTTTGTGTGGGTGGCTGCTTGCTAGAACCTGACACACAGCAGGGAAATTGGGGCAGCATTTGGAAATGCTTTGAAAGGCCCTGGAGTTTTTATACAATTTTTTTATTGCTGTCCCACTGCTGCCACACACACGGCTCACGTGGGCACCAGCCCTCATGAGGCACAATTTCCCCTTGGCTGACACCCCACGTGGCAAATGATAAGGCTCAGCACAGTCCTGCTGGGGGTCTGAAGGGGGAAGGCTGCTAATTGCAGGATGCCATAGGCATGCACCCTGTACCTGTAAGCAGCGAGGAAGGACTGGAGTGTTCTTTAGGCAGTGGCCACCTGTGGCTCTCTGGGACACAGCAGGAAGGATGGCAGCTCTGTCCCGCTGTGCTGGCCTGGTCTGAGTGCTCCCTGGACATGAGTGCTGTGCTCCATGCACCCTGCTCTGGGCTGCAGCACCACTGAGCTCAGCCTGCCCAGGATTCCTGCACTGGCAGGGGTGGGAGGTCCAGCTGTGGCTGCACTTTGTGGCATTCTTCTGCTTGCAAGTATTTCTGCACAGCTCTGGTCTCCCCATGTTATTCCTCATGGATCTTGTGCTGGTGTAAAAGTGGTGCCTGATGGAATAGCCTGGGCTGTCTGGAAATACCTGGGCACAGCTGGGTTTGCCACACAGTGGGGAGGTTGGTTCTTTTCTGGAAAATACCAAACACATAGATGGGGACAAATGGGAGATGAGTGCCAAGATGTACCAGGAGCTCAGCACTTTTATCCAATGGAGCCATGGCATGGGAAAAATGTCCATAGGATGTAGAAGTTTATTTAAACGTGTATTTAATGTTAGTGAGTGGACACACAGCACAGCTTTCTGAGTTGGAAGCCAGTTGCTGAAGAGCAGCTGAGCTTGATTTGCAGAGAATTGTTGTTCTCCAGTGGATTTGCAGGTGCAACACAGTGACATTTTAACTGTTTGGGCTTCCCTGTTGTGCTCTCAGCCATCCTGGAGGGTACACAAAGGCTGGAGGATGACTGGAACGCCGTAACGAAGTTTTCCACAAAAGAAGCTCAGTGAAGTTTCAGAAATCTCCACTGGCTCATGCTGCTTGAGAGACATGTCCAAGCTGATGGTCACATATAGGTCCTTATAGCTCCTTTTGAAGGTTTGAATGCTTTGTTTTCCAGCAGAAGAGCTTTTCTGGGCGTTATTTGTGCTGGACTGACCTTCAAATAAAACTGTTACTAAGACCTGACAACACAGTAGGTATGACAGCCCTGTCAAGGAATGGATAATCTCCGGTTTTTAAATACACTTTCTATTTATGTTGGCAGTGTAAAGGCATCTCAGGATTTTACCTGCTATCCCAGACTTACACTTCAAAAGTGCCACCAAGGAAACTTCTCTGCATATCTCTTTCTATTTCAAAACTTCTTAACTGAATAATATGAGTTGACAGATATATCACTGCCTGTTGAAGCTCACAGCAGAAGAATATTCAAAGGGAAAAGAAAATATTTGGAAAGTATTTTTTCACTATCATCAAACAGACCTGGAAATTGTATCAACTGAGGGGATATACCAGTTGTTCCTGCAGCTTAATTTTTCATGGTTAGTTTATTTTTCATGTTTATCAGAATGTTTCAGTTCATATCTCAGACACCTCAATCTGTGCAAGAGTCAGGGTTCCCTAGAGGGGCCAGCAGCTCTGTGTGCCCCCAGATCAGCTGGCAGACATCTGCCTTGTGTTAGGAGAAACATGATCTTCCCACTGGCTTGGACACATGGAAGGGGGTGGGAACACTGTGAAACTGCTGCTTAAACCAACACATAACCCAGCATTTCAGAATAAATAAGCAAAATTAGTTGCCTGCATTTTCTCAGGGAACAAAAACGTTGAGCATTTTCAGGAAAAAATGATGCTTTTCCACACTCTCTTGAAGAAGCTGCTGTGGATGCCAGGTTGGTTGTTAGCCCTGGGGTTGGCTGCTGGGGACTGGGCCACAGAGGGATGGTGGGACTGCCTTGGTTTTACCATCTGACTCCAAATCTGGCTTCTGGCTTTCTCTGACACTGCTAGTGCAGTCAGCAGGGCTCGGCTGGAGTTAATTGAATTAAATGGGACACTTGCCAGGGACACCAGTTATCTCCTGCAGTCATTAGCACAAGAAGGGTGTAAGGATTAGCTCTTGTTTGCTGTCTCAGGTGTTAGTGGTGATACCAGCTGACATGTTAAGGTCTTGTCAGCAGCAGCATGTTCTGGAAGAGACAGCAGTCTCTTTAGCTGATAATACCTGCATCATTTCTTTTAAATGCATTCCTCATTGCAGTAATTTTTTTTTAGTCCTTGCTTCGAATAGTTTAATGAATTTCATTTCATCTCTCATTTCAGGGGATCAGCAAACGCATAGGACAGGTACACTCCCTTCTGAGTGACAGCACTTCCCAAAGCCTCGCTCTGCAGCCCTGGAGCCTGCTTCAGCAGCCCTGGGAGCCTGGCCATGGTGAGGGGTGAGTGCTGCAGAGGCGTCACTGGGGCTGGCTCTTGCTGGGTCACATGAACTCTGCACTGGGGGAGGAAGGGCCTGAGCTTTTGATTTCTGAAGGATATTGCCCTGATAAATAAAGAAAAGATTTAACTACTGCAGGAAAGTGTGGAGATCTGCTCTTTGGCATTCTGGATGAGAAATTCTGGTCCTGAAGTCCGTGCAATTACTGAGGCAGCAATGGGCACATGCCCGTGGTTCACCTGCAGTGCTGCCCACATCCCACGTGCCCAGTCCCACCCCTGGCAGTGCCCACCTGCCATGGCCCACGTTCCCCATGTCCCACCCACAGGGGTGCATCCTCTGGGTGGCTCCCCTGGAAGTGAAGTGCTGCTGCTTCCTGGGGCTGGGGAGCACTAATTAACACGAATTAACAGGCAGAACTGGTGATGAGGTGCTGAGCTCAGCCGTCCCTGCCAGCCACAGTGTCTGGGCAGTGCAGCCTCTGCCAGGGGCTCTGGGGTGCCGGGCAGCAGAGCGGGCAGTGTCCAGCACCTCTGGGTGTTCCCATGGAGCTCGGGGTGGGTGTTCCTGGGCACGGCTGGCAGGGAGGCTCTGCAGAGCCACGGCAGCTGGGGCTGGGCCCTGCAGGGTGGGCCCTGCCTGGTGAGAGCAGCCAGCACAGCAAACCTCGGCCTTGGCTCCCGCACGGATCCGTGCCCCCGGAGCCCCCCAGCCACAGGCAGGCTGTGGGTGACACTGCCAGCCCCACACAGCCCCTCTGGGCTCTGGCTGCTGGGAAAGGCCCGCTGCAAACTCGCTTTGGGCGGTCTGAAAAATTGCTGAACTTTCAAACTAAGTTCTTGTGATTGAATATTTATTGTTGAACTCAGCATGAAATGTAAAACAAAGCCTAAAACTAGGGATGCTTTTGATTTTAGTGTAAATGCTGACAGCATTTTTAATTTATACAGTATTTTAATAGTGAATGCTTAAAATTATTCTGGTGTTTTGTGTCCTCAGCTGTTTTTCTCTCTACTGTGGTTAGCCCTAGAGTGTGCATTGGAATGAGTAACATGCAGAGATCAGAGACTTACAACAAGCTCAGCCTAGAGTGGTTTAAGACACGTAAGTGTAGGATTTTCTGGCGGTGCCAGGGGGTCAGGGCTGCTTTATGGCCCCGTTCCACGTCAGAAGAACGGCTGAGGCGTTCCTTTGTGCTCACAGCACTGTAACAGGGTCAGCTTTCACCTGGCTGGAGCCTGCCAAGATCACCAATTGGAGTCCATTGTGCCATTGGAAAATCGTTCATTTTCATGGATAAGTCAGAATTAATGTTGTGTGGCGGTGGGAGTGCAGGTCAGTGCAGGGTCAGTGAGGCCACTCTGGGGCTGCTGGCCCTGACCTTGGCACAGACTGCCAGGGCCAGTGCTGGTGCCAAGGCACAGCTGCCAATATCTCCTATACTCTGCCGTAGTATCAAGAAATATACAAATATACAGGACTTGGGCAAACCTAAAAAAACACAAAATGCCCTTTGGTCTCTTTAACAGAGTCACATCAATGTTTCTTTCATGTAAATGTCCATGGGGCTTTGCTGCCTCCACAGTGAAGTGCATTCCAAACAGTAACTGCAATAACTAGTAAAAAGAATTATAAGGCATGGGGCAGAGCTGGGCTCCTGCTCTCCTGCAGCAGAGGCACTGCTGGCTGCAGCTCTGGAGCTTGGCACTGATGCACTTGCACTGCACAACCATCACTTTCTCAAATGCATATGTCATTTACGCTTTCCTTAATTAAAATTTCAGCTATCCCTGCCTCGGTGCACATGCCTCTGTGCACATGTGTCTGCCTGAGCGCTGCCATGTTTGGAGCTGTGTGGTGGCTGCTGTCAGAACCCAGGAATGCAGCCTCAGGAACAGAACCCTGCACAGGCAAACGTGGCAGAACCTGGGCAGTGTCTGCAGCAGCAGTTAGGAATCTGGGACTGGGAGCTGACTGTACTTGCATTCCCAGGAGGACAAATCAGGGCCTCGATTGCCAGGTTTGCAATTTTTAAAAAGCCTTTACTTTAATGAATGTGCAGCTTGAGTGTCATTGTTCTTTTTTTTGTTCTGGGTTGTTTTTCAGAAAACAAGATCAGTTTAGGAAATTTAAATCTCTGCTAAAATAGAAATTTTATCTAGAGAAGTCCCTCTGTGTGCTTCCATTCTTAGTATAAAACAAATTTATTCACTTCTGTAGTTGAAGTTGCATTACTAAAGAACATAAAGTTTCTTTAGTGTTGCTTGATGGTTTTTGTCTGGTTTAGAATGGAAATTGGGATTGTATTACCATCTTGTGGCCGTAACACTTGTCAGTTCATTTAAATTTATGTATTAGTTTCTTATTTATTACCGCAAAGTTTATTGGTTTGTTAGGAATAATACCCAGAGTTGTGGTGCTGAGAAGGTGAAGCTGCAGCGTGAGCCCACCTGGAATCCTCACTGTAGGAGAAATGCACTGGGAGCAGCCGTGGACGGGCAGGGTCACCAGCACTGCGGTGCTCGCTCCGTCTGTCAGTCTGTTTGTGTGTCTCGTGATTTTCAGCTTGCTTTTCATATCCTGATGCTACTGAAAAGTCAGCCTTTTTCAGAAAAGTGTAGAATCTAATGAGCAGTGTGTTTGAAAACCTCAGCCATTCCCAGGACAGGTGAGTGATACAAACATGGCACAAGCAGGTGGAGATGGGCATCTTGGAAAGAAAACATCAAAGGAATCACACAGAGGTCGGGTTGGACCATTCACAGGGCCAGGGAGCTGGAGATGTGTGCAAAGCCACCCTGCTCTTCACTCCGTGCCCCTGAGCTTCAGATCACAAAGAAAGCAGCTGGAAAAGTTACCCAGAAATAGATGACCTTTCAAAAGGCCTCTAACATACAATTACCTGATGTTCACTGAAGTGGTTCATGTGTTTCCCACTCTAAATGATTTTCTAGGTTCACCCATGTGTGAAAAGGGGTCTGATTTTATGGAGGAGGGCAATGGAGGAAAGAAACTTTAGAAAGGAGAAAAATATGCCAGGGAATTTTACTGGTTGTTTGCTTCAAGGGAAGAAAAGGGCAAATAGTTGCAGCCACCTCAAAGTCACCTTTTGACTTTGAACTTTAAAAGAAAGGAGCATGGGAGAGCTCTGAGGTATTGACAGCACTTGACAGAAGCTGTTCCATGGAGATAGGTAGGAAATTTAGGATCTAGTGGAGTTTGCTTTCTTAGCCAGATGACAAGTTCTTTTTTTCCCTACAGTACAACAGAATTATTACAACCCCTGTTTTCCTTACTGCCTTTTCTTTCCTTCTGCCCTGGGTCATCGGGCACAGGAGATCCTTTGGCTGTGTGGCCGGCAGTGCTCACACCAGGGCTGGCCATGTCCCCTCTGCAGAGTTCCAGCTCTGATCCTGGACAAAGCAAGCGAGTTATCTGGGCCTGCAATCTACAGTGGGCTTTAGGCAAAATACTTTTCTAAGGAAATTATTTCTATGGTTGGAACAAAGTGCCTCTCCCCTGCACCTTTCCAGTGGCAGCTGTGCCCAGGTGCACGCAGCAGCCTGGCTTCCATAGTTCAGTGTTCTCTGCACTGCCCTGACCCCCAGCAGCCCAGGGGGAAGGGGGCAGAGACCACCCCCACGTGGGAAAGGAGCAGCATTCAAAAACCCAAACGCTTCTTCAAGCCAGGGAATGGCATTCCCACGTATGATGAGAGAGCACACTGGGCAATAGAAACTATGTTTGTATGGAAGAAAATAATTTTAAATAACCTTGGAATGTAAAGATTTTCATGAACAAAAGGTAATGGCAGTCCCCTCCCCTATTCAGAGAGACAAGAGCATCAATGTGGCACTTGTAGCACTGAAGCACTTTTCATTTGGTCGAGTGTCTGTTTGTGGGGAAAAAAATCCAAAGTTGAGCTTTGGATCTAAAGCATTAGACTTGCAATTCCACAAAATTTTGTGACTTTGGAAATGTTCTCTTGTTTTTCAGTATGAGCTCATGAAGCTGGAATGAAATTGTCCTTTCGGGACAAAACAAAATAGATGAAAAATAAATGCTCATGTCAGGTCTGGAGACCAAGGGGGTCCTGAGCCATGGTCTTTAATATGTTTCTTTTCCATCAAGTTCAGGAGCAACTTTGAGCAGGATTTGCTGCAGTTGAGGGAGACCAAAAAAAAAAAAACCATATTAAAAATAAAAGAACCCTGGATAAGGTTTTTCAAAAAGCCATTTATATCTTCTATAAGACATGCAGATGCAAAAGTGAATGGTGAGTCAGGAGTGCACTCGGGCACACAGTTCCAACAGCAGCTACCAGGCGCCTCTGAGTGTGGCTGTGCTGGAAGGCAGGTCAGCTGGAGCTCACAGCAGCATAACTGTGGGATGATCTGGAGCTCCTCATGCTTCTGCCTCCTCCTTTTGGAGGCCACACAGTGTGCACATGCTGTGTCCCTGGATTCATGCCTTTTCTGGCGATTTGTTTGCCTGATCCTTAAATTTCTGTGTTCATCTCCAGGGCCCAGGGCAGAGCCAGGCTGCCAGCAATTGCTGAGACCATGAGCAAGTGCCTTGGCCGCCAGGGTGTCAGGAGTGCAGGAGCACACAGCTGCACTCCCCGTGCTCTAAGGGCAGTGTGCTGAGAGCTAACATGGCAGAGAGACTGAAAGGTGTGAGGGTTTCTCCTGGAGCCTGCTTTAACTCTCCATGGCCCTGTTTGGGAACGGGCTGTAGTCACTGCATGCCTTTAGCTTGAACTTGCACTTCATCAGTCTGGGAGGAAGAATGGAGGAAATGCTCTGAGAGAAAATTCCATTTATGTCTTCTGCCACCTGCTAATGGCATATGTGAGCTGCTGCATGCCAGTAGCTGATGGCGAAGATAACATCAGTGTGGAGAAAATTGTGCAGTGCTGAAAATGAGACTCGTGTTCCAGATGACCCGATAGTTCAGCGCCTGCTGGGGCCAGGTGTGGGGCTCTGCTCGCCCACTCTCACACAGACACACACAGAGTGATGGCCTGCTGCAATCCCAGAAATCAATTCTTTTAGGGCAGGCAAAAGGAGAAAAGCTGAAAAGCTTCTATTCACATCCAGCCCCAAATCAGGCTTTGCTGCATATACCTCCAGCCTAATTAGTGTGAGCCAGGACAAGGGAGGCTGACAGGAGGGAAGAGCTGTCAAAGTGCCCGGTAAAGCTGCTGGGCTGAAAACTGACATAATGGCAGAGGAGACAGTGGGCAGCGCTTCAGGAGTAAACATCCATAGACAGTAGGATCTTAGAAATATTTGAGGCACTCAACAGCAAAATCCTTGTTGCTTTTCACCCTGGTGGCATCTGGAGATTTTGCTCAGTGAGGGAATTCATGGTGTTTTGTGTGAACCAAGAGGTAATTGCGAGCAACTACTTAAATAGCCTAGTTATGTTTAGAGAAGGCTGGTTCTGGGAGCAGCTAGGATCTGTGAATAAACATATTGACACAGGTGACCACCTGATCTATGCATTTGGATCTAAAAAAAGCCACTCTGCTAAGTTTGAATACCTCAAAGTAAAGCTGAGCAGACAGCAGACGCCACAGCTGTGCCTGCCCAAAGCAGCAGGGCATGGGGCTCAGCACGTCCTGCCAGCCCGAGGAGCCCTCCTGAGGGGACCAGGGCCTTAAATACCAGCCCTGAAATGCCCTGTGCACAGAGAAAGGTAAAGGGACTGGGCCCCCTAAATGGGGATGGACAAGCCCAGAGGCTTACCTTGCTTAATCCTTGGGCAAACATGCTCAGTGCCTGCTGAGTGCAGCAGCTGCTCCCACCTGTGCCAGCACTGCCCTGCACAGCTGGCTGGGGCTCCCTGGGGACAGAGGGCACCTGCTCCCAGCCTGGAGTTCCCTGGCAATGGAGAGAGCCCCCTCCCCACCTGGGCATCCCAGGGGACAGTGGGCTTCCAGCTTGGCTGTGGCCCTTAGCAGTCAGGATTTTTGGAAGAGAAAGTCTGTGAGAGAGAAGACAAATGTGAAGCTGTTGAATGTGTTCAGCCCTTCAGCACAGGGGTTGAAGAGTTCACAGTGACAGCTGAGATAAGGCCAGGCTGCTGGTGGGCCCCAAGCTGCCCCTGCCCCCCAGTGAGCACCCAGCTGCCTCAGCCCACTGTTAACCATGGCTAGATTCAGCACAACCCAACAGCACAGAATTATAATGCCCTATGACATGGAAATGGGTCAGAAGCAAACTCTGTGTCTTTCTGTATTAACACAGGCGCCACTCCTGGCTTGGAAGGTTTCACAGCCCTGAGATTTTGCTGCTTATGACTTGAAGCAACCAGCATCACCTCAGGCTATAGGCAGAAAAATGTCATTGAACCACATTGCCTCTCTGCTAGACAAACTGCAGAAAGATAACTTGCTCCCAGAATGTCAGGATTGTCTGGCCACCTTCCAAACAATCGCTGCATTCCGTGCTTGAATGTCTATCAGTGAATTTCCAGTACAAAATGTAAACAGAGACAACTAGAAATCAACGTCTGGTGTTTCCTTTGCACCTCCCCAGAGGGGAGGGCTGTTGGCATCATATATTCAATCCCTCAGCACCAGCAGACACAGGTCAGTGACAAGACAGGTGAAAGAATAAGGCCTGAGGTCAGTAGGTGCCCGGTACAGCCACTGAAGCTGCCTGCTTCCAGGAGCTGAGGCTGCTGCTCTTGGGGAAACAGAACTCCTGCCTGAGGGTAAACATCTTCAGTTGCCATACAGAAGAACTTAAAAAGCCAACCAACAATCACCTAGCCAAGTAGAAAAATATCTAAAATCAATTTAGGGTGGAAAAATATCAAAAATCAAGATGAGATGGACATGGCATGTCTCCTGCCTGGAATTCCTGGGAAGGTCTGTTGGTGGCATGCCTGGTCATTAGTGCTGGTTGGACACAGGGCCAGGACACCCAGCAGCCTGATCCCCATCCTTCCTGTGGCTGAAGGAGATGCAGGTGAAGCCTGGTTGGGGCGACTGCCAGCTGTTAGGAAAGATCACTTGTGCCCACAGGTCACTTCCCCAGCAAGGTGCACTTGTTCCAGGAGTGTTAGAGCCCTCCCCAGTGGCGTGGGCCCTCCAGGGGGCTGAGAAAACCCTTGGAGCAAATAAGGTGAATGGCACCAGACTTTCTGGGGAATCCCTTTTGGTGAATGTTGCCGACCCATAATCCAGAGCCACTCTTTGCAGCGAGGCAGTGCGGGCAGGCAGAGCAGCATTCACGTCAGGATGGTGCAGGTCCCTCTGCTGTGCTGCAGCTGAAGCCCCCAACATGGAGAAAGAGAGCCTCAGTTGCAGGGCTGAGCAGGCAGGGTCAGATCCTGCCACAGTTTGGACTCACAACTAGACACACTCCGTGCTTTTCAAGTTGTAGATCTTAAGCTTTTTGCATTTCAGCTCTGCAAATGCTCATCAGTGGTTTAGCCACTTTTCATCTGTTAAACTTCTTGGGTTTATCCATGCTCCATCCAGAGTTCCACCCATTAAACTCTACTTTTACTGCCTTTTCTCACTTTAAGGGGAGGAGGTCACCTTCAGAGAGGCTGGTTCAGAGAACAGTCGGAGTAGCCATGGAGTGCCCTGTCTAGTGAAGTCTCAAATTAAAGAGAAGATGGCTCTGAAAAGCATGATAAAGTCTTTGAAAATTAAGATAATACTAGTGCAGGCCCAAACCTGCTGCTAGTGTGAGATTCAGAAGTGTTGCTGCTGAACAGCAGTTCCATGTCAGGAACCTGCAGCAGCTGCTATGGATGCAGATCCATCCTTCAGCTGATCCTACAGCATGGGTTCTGGACTCCTCCAGTTCTTGGACTCCTTCACCTCTGCATCACCAGGATTTCTTCAGCATGGTCATTAACAGCTCACACATAGCTGCCACACCTTGCAGCACACGCCTCTGCATTCCTCACCCTGCTCCAAGACATGCTTTGTTCATGGACTCAGCTCTCAGGGCTCCCACTCACCCTGTGATTCACATGGCATCAGGTTATATGAAGTGCTGGCAAGTTGTGGTCATGATGGGTTTAGCCCCAGCCCTGTCCTTGAAAGAACAGATCCTGTCACCTAACCAGTACTTTTGGGACGTATTTTACAATTTGTATAAAGAAAAAATGTACTGGAAATACTTATCTGTAGTGAGAATCTTCGGACCTCAGTACACATAGAAATCCAGCAATGTCCGTTGTTTGACATGCTTTTGTCTGTTCTATAATCTGTGACCAGAGTTCACCAGCTTTCTCCCAGCCTGTGCTCAGCTTTTAAAGCTTTTCCTGCTGTGTCTCACATTTGCCAAGTCTCCAGTCCCCAGGGATGCAGTGCCTGGGGGGAGCTCTGGTGGGACGAGCTCGGGGCCCCAGCCCCTCACCCTGGAGGGTGCCTGCACTCTGAAGCTGCCACAGGCCAGATGGAAAATGGTCCCATCTCCCCCTTTCTCATGGATGTTCTTACACAGCACAGCAAATCAAAACCTCAGACCAGCACAAGTCTTTTTGTTGCTTGTTCTGCAGTCTGGAGGGAAAAAAGGAGTCCCAGCTCCTATTTTCCACATGAGTGGGAACCAGTAGTGGTTGGCAGACCAGTGGCTGGTTTCTAGACTTGGCCAAGGGAAAGATCTGAGTCCTTGCTGAATATTAAAAATCTTGGCTTAGGCTGATTTCATTTTCCATTTTTTTAATTCTACTTTCAAATTTTATTTCTTTATTTTCAGTTTAATCCTTTCTTTTTAAGGTTTACACAGCATCATCTGCTTCTCCGATAGCTCTGTCCTTTAGCTAGACTTATGAGCTGCACTTTAAAAGTGGACACTGTGATCATCACAAAAATCCCTCCTTCTGGTATTTTTGCTAGCATCAGTCCCCAGAACATGGGCCTTAATGAAGGGAACATATTCCCTCCTGATGTGCCAGACGAAAGTTCATGGCTTTGTCTTGCTGAAAATGAAGTCTTGATTATTCATGCAGTTCCCAATTAGTCATTCCACACCCTTGAATTATTTCTGACAGATGTGAAATGCCTTGTGCTGAATTCCTACTCCAAGGAACCTTCTGCATGACTGGTTTATCAGTGTATGCAAGCAGACTCATGATTTACAGTGCTTCATCATCGTGGCATGTGTAACACTGAACACGATGACTAGGGAAACCAGACCCACCTATTTTTGGTCATAGGTTCAGAGCCTCCAAAATCTGCCAGCAGCTGCACAAGGGGCGCTCACACAGGGCTGGTGTGTGCACAGGGAAAGCCAGTTTACACTGAGGATCTCAAGAACGGATTGTCTGAGGGCCTATGAACTCACTCTCAGGGGTGATATGGACACAAGTGCTAACCTGAAGGCCCATCTCTGTCACTTGTCACTTTCTGGCTTTGTCTCTGCTGCCAGGAGTGCTTTTCCCACTGGCTGTGCTCAGCTGAGGCGCAGGTCAGGCGTGTTTGCTGTCCCTGAGCGCGCCCTGGGCACCGGAGCTGCCCAGCAGGGAGGGGATGCCCAGCCTGGTGCCCTCCCTGCTGCTGGGCAGCCCAGGCAGCCATCCCTGCTGGCACTGGAAGGGCTGACCTGCTCTCACTGCTGCGCTTCAGCAGCGTTCCTGAGCAGGTGGCCAGCCCTGGCTCCATATGAGGTTAAAGACATTACCTATGCAATGGGAGATTTTAGGCTGGGATTCCACATTTTTCTCCTGCAGAAGTCTCTGTCACTGCAAAACAAAATAATAGCACCCAAAGCCATGTTAAGTCATTGTAGTGATTCCAAAATCCACGATTCCTCTGGCAATTAAAAAAGCTCCAAGCTCGCTCGAGGTCTTACAACTGTGAATTTTGTATTTGCAGTTGTGAAACTCCCCTCTTCTCTTTATCCACAGATGGTCATGATGATGTGTTATTGTTCCATAATGAATCATTTTTGTGTCATGTTTGTCTTGGTTTGGGGATTTAAATTGCATGCCTCACTGAAGGGAATCTGTAATTGAGATACAAATCTGAGCACCTGTGAAAGACTTCAAGTTTTGTGTACATGCCTAAGTATAAATTTTTAAATGTATGTTTTACTACTTTAAAGGCATCTACACAGGATGTCAGTGGAGGTTGATCTGTCATCACTCTGTCTTGTCAGCAGACCCACTGGGTTCTGACAGCTGAAGAGAGGCCATTAATTAAAACTGCCAGGTTTTGTCAGGCCCTTGACATGCTCCCTAGATAATTCAGTCTTAGGCATTTCAAGCGTTTGCAGCAGGAACAAGACCAAATCTTTCAATTTCCCTGCTCCATTCTGTGCCTCTCTTTCCAAGAAAGAGGATTTATTCCTGCAGCAATAACCCTTTGCATTTTGAAGCGAGGGTGTTGGTGTAACTTGGTTCTGCATTGAGAAGTGCCAGGGTTTGTGATGACTCCTCAGAGGGAAGCTCTGCAAAGGTTGTGGCAGTGACTCCCCACCCTCAGGAAGGTTACAGCGGATAATGCCACAAGTTTTGCAGGAATAAAGAGCTTTTTCTTACTGTTCTAAGAAGGTTCTTTGCTAGAATAAGCAAACAAGAATTGGACCTGAGTTCAGGTCCCTCTGCTCCCACAGCTATCCTCACTGGAGCTGCAACTGCTCCTGGGGAGATATGGCTCTCAGCCAGTCATCCTTAAAGGAGAAGTGTTAGTTTTGCATGTAACTGTGACCTATTTTTAAATTTTTGCTATATATACACATTTACTCTTTATAACAGATCCATGGACTCTTTGGAGTGCATATGATGGAGAGCCAGTGGTCAGCCCTTAGAGTCATGTTTAGAAAACACCACCTTTGTTTGTTTTACATGTTTATAATTGTCTCTGGCTATATTATAATTTCTGAATTTCCCCTGTAGCTTTCAAAGTAATGTTGGTTTGTCTTGATAGTAACACTGCTAAAAAGCACTTAAAGCGTCAAATACAAGAACAGTTGTTTGCTTCTTCTGGCTACTACAACCTACCAGAGATGTAAATCATGACCCATATTGCTACAGCTTCTGAAATCAAAGTAAAGCCAAATAATGCATAGCCCAGCATAGACATATTCCCTAATGACACAGAAGTGTGTTGCTCCAGCCCCCCATTTTATGGGAGAAAAGGAGCATATATGATAAGAGTTGAGTGCCAACTGCTCACTTCCTCAGCAGTGACTGCAATTTGTGTGGGACAATCTGCTCCTTGCACGCGTTGCTCAGAGGCGGATCCTGTTCAGAAACCCCTTCTCTGCCCCTGTGGAACAGAGGGCTATGGCACCTTCACATGGAACCACGCTCAACTGGAATGTCACAGATTTGCCTCTGGGGCCAACCTGAGCTGCAGCAGAGCATGGAGAAGACAGTTTCAGGTAAGACAGCGGATGCACTTTGCACACTCGTGAGGGTTGCTGACAGCAGACTTCCATGGGGAAGTCACACCAGTAATGAATGTTCCAAAGGGAATTGGGGCTCCCACGCCTGCAGGGAGGCAGCCATGGAGGCAGGTATCTGGTGTCTCAATGTTCAGAGGATTTCCCCACAGCTCACCTGGGCTCAGGTGGTGGGCTTAGAGACTCCGTGCCCATCTCACTGCAGCCTCTGAGGCATTGCCTGCACAAACTAACACAGCAGCCAGGTCCCTTCTCATGGCCTGCCCAGGGAATGAGGGACTCTGGGCCTCCCTGGGCCATCTCTGCCCTCAGTCAGCCTGCCTGAGGAGTTTGCTTTGTGCTGCATGGAGCGGTGCCATCTCGCAGGAGCACCGCACGGAGCAGGGTGAGGAGTAAGCATAATGCTGAATTACAAGGTGCTGTGAGTAAGAGCATCTGCCAATGTCAGCAGATACATGAGGTCAGCAAGTTTGCATTCCTTCGGGTCAGAGAACAGAACAAGTGGATCTTATCCCCATGGCAGTGCCCCCACTCTGCACTCAGTGCTCTGCAGGAAGGGACAGGGAGCAAACGGAGGGAACAAACAGGCACGGGCAGCCTCCAGGTGAGAATGCACAGGAGAGCAAGCACACTGTTTTCCCACAGCACAAACAGCCAGGCTCGCAGCATGTACTGCCAAAACCATAAATGTTCCCTTGGGAAACCAGACTGCGTTTATGAGGGACTGTGAGATCTGGTGTCTGCTCACCTGGGGACGTGAGGGAGGTATTCTCTTTAAAGTGATGGATCCAGTCTGGTGTCCAACCCTGCCACGCCATCAGGGAGAGGACAGCATAACAGAGGAATTGCATTTTCCTTCTCCTCACTTGTTATTCTGAGTGGTCATGTATTAATTCTTAAACTCAACTCTTTTAATTATTTTTATAACCCTTACTAAGGTCGCTCTGAATATTACTGTAATCCTTATAAATACAAAACCCCCTTTCTCTAGAAATTTTAGCCATCCAGCTAACATGCCCTATGACTTTGAAATTAGTACAGAGAATTTATCAACAGGATTTAAAATTAAATTAAATTTAGGATGAAAGCTATACCTTACAACCTCAAGACTTATAAATTTAGTCTTTTCCAAGATATAAGTGCATGTCCCCAAAATGAATATAATTCTGAAAATTTCTTATGTTGTCAGACAGAACCAGACAGTTTTAGAGGCATACATATGTGTGCAAAGAAAAGTTATGGTTACAAAGGCACATCCTGGATTACAGAAAACAAATGTCATATCATACAGAGATTTCCATAAGGGTGGGAATTGCTCAGGATTGGCATGGGTCAAGCATAACTTTAAATGCTATTCCTTGGGCAATATCCAAAGGATCAGACTCTATATTGAACACCTTTGCTCACTGTAAACTACTCAGTATCTAGATAAGTGCTGAATATATAAATAGATTTTTATGTTGATGGCAAACCCAAACACCTACAGGTGACTGCAGCTATTGGGTATCAAAGATAGAAGTCAGTTTCTGAAGACCTACTTGGATAACACAATTATACTTTTTGATGCATAAAACTTGACTAGGGCTCTGGGAATTAGCAACATAAAAATAATGTCAGTGATGAATTTAAAATGTTGCCCAAACACGGAATTATAAGGAAGCCTTGGGAGAGGTCTTGTGTTCTTGGATCAGAGCTTGGATCTTTCCATAGTTTTTAATTCTGACTATTAGATTTTTCATAATCTCCAGAGGTTACTTGGCAACTGCTGTGGGCTATTGGATGGCCCATCTGGGCAGCACAGGGCAGGACCCCACAGGACCCCACAGCTGCACGTGGGGCATCCTGGCTCTGCCCATGCTGCTCCTATTTTATAACTGCAGATCTCAAACAATGAACAATGCTTGATAGTCATCGACCTGATTTCAGAAATGGAGTAACTGTGATGCAATGAGATGAAGAAACTCACTCGATACCATTGAATCAATTGATGTCCATGCAAGGATTAGACACATTTCCTCATTCTTGGTGCCATTTATAACTTACCACAAAAGAACACTAAACCCAGTTCTTATGGCCATTCTCCATGCTTCAACAGACCATGGCATCAAAGGACTAAGCAATAAATCTTCACTTCTCTCAGTTTGTTTTTTTTTTGAGAATGACTGTTATGAGAGAAAAGAGGCCTTCAGCAGCTGCAGGAAAGAGGCCTCACAGTGCATTCTTTCACCATGTAGTTCCTCTCACATTCTGCCTTTCTGTTCCCTCACTGTGCTCCTGAAGAACCCTGAGTCCAACCAAGCATTAATGCCTGCAGTGACATTGCTATGGATCAGATTCTATCACTTTCATCATTAAACCCTTTTGTTAGTGTGAACCAGCATTCTGCCTAGTGAGATTGCTTATTGACCAGAACGTCGCTGCTGTACAGTACCCAGCTTTGGATTTGCAGATCTCCAAATGTTTTAATGTACCGTGTGCTACTCCCCACAAACATGACGTTAAAAAAGAGGGATTGTCCTGAAGCCATGATCCTACCAGAAGCACCCTGTGAGAGGGCCAGTGACCCCTGCAGCAGAGCGTGCCCACGTGGAACAAGGGCCAGCAGGCATTACCAGGCTGTGGGGTTCATTTTAGTATTTCAGCAAGAGGAGTCTGAAAAGTGTTAAGTCTCATGATTTACAAAGTGAAATCAGAGTTACAGGGATCCTACCTGTGTGCAACTGTCAATGAGTCATAGGAGGAAGCAATCCACAGTCCATATTCCACAGGGAAAAGCCATATGGACTTGTCACTTGGGGTTCTTTGTGCAGAATGCAGGTCCCTGTCAGTTTCCTGTCACTGGCTCTATTTCACATCCCCCAGCTTGTCTTTGGGAGCAAAATCGCAGGCCTACCCAGTTGTACCTAAACTGATTTCAGTTGGTGTGGCCTCGGTGGCACTGCGGTGTCAGACCCTGCCCGAGCGTGGCTCTGGCTCACAGCCCTGCAGGGGCTGTGCTGGAGAGCTCTGATCAGAGCTCCGGGAGCCCACCCACCACCCTCCCAGGGCTTACTCTGAGCCCAGCACCTGCCTGCTGCCACAGGAGTGAGACAGCAATTCTGATAGGGGAAGATATAAACAGAAATGTGGGAGGGAACTGAAAGCATCTCTCTTGTCCTTGCACAACTTCAGCTCCAGCTTTCCAAGTTTCTGCTGTTCATCACCTCTTCTACATGCAGAGCAGTACCTTGTTTCCCTTGTCTGAGAAACAGCATGAAGTACAGGCTTGAAAATCCTTTAGTTATTTAACACTCAAAAGCACTTTTTCACCCCATATCCTACATGGTACCAATTCATCTGCAAAAACACAGATACAGAAACAGCAGGGTAGTGCACCGTGCATCATACACTGCAAGATATGCTCAAGAGAGATTACACAGGGCACTGCTCAGTGTTCACAGCACTAGGCAGGAGATCAAGAAACCTTCGATTTTAATTTGGGCACTGACTTGCTCTGAAGTTTTGAGTAAAGGGGAATAATTTCCAATTTAGGTTTCAGTTTTACTGTCTGAAAAAAACTAGGAGGTATTATTTATAAAGCTTGGAGAACTTCCACAAAATTTGCCTAAATTCCACCTGTTAATTACATTTCAACAGAAGCTGAGACGTGTCTGTGTACCCTTCACAGAAGCAGCACTCCAGAAACAGTTCATGGGACAGAAGAGATGGCATATTTCGTTTAACAATGGGGTGTTTAAGGCCTGGTTCTGCAAAGTACACTGGAAGAAAACAGGTATTTCCTTATGCATCATGCCCTAGGAAAAGATATTTAAATATGTCTGTGTTCTTAAAAAGAGAAATTTCAAATAAATTCTGTATGTACTGGCATGCTAATATGAACAGCATGCCTGCATGCAGAAATTTCACTTTTAAAAAACCACCCCCTTTCTGCTGCTTGTGTGTACATTGGTATTACTCAACCTTCAGGTTCTTACAAAGCTCACTGTGAGCCTTCCCACATGCTAAATCTATCCTACTAGGTATTTACTCACCATTATAAAAGTCTTTTACCCCATGAATAAACACAGAAATATTTGCCCAGGTTAACTGTGATATTGGGCTATTTAGAATAAAACTGCACTGTTCTGTATTTCAGCACCCTGCTTCCACAGAATTTTTCGTTCTCTGGCTTGTTCTATGTGCAGTCCCAAAGGCCTGGCTGGCGAGCCCCTGTGCTGGGCAGGCTGCCCCTGAGTGCCAGCCCTGCCCGAGGAGCACAGAGCGGGCACAGCTGCAGGAGCTGCTGGCCACAGTCCCGCTCGGCCGGGTGGAGAGGGCAGGCACGTGTCCACCCCAGCCTCCATCCTTTCCTCCAGCAAGCCTGCGCACAGCTCTCACCGTGCGCCCACCTGGCTTGCACTGGCTCAGCCCTGCCAGCGTTCCATCGGTGCTGACAGGGAGGGCTGCTGGGGACGGGCCACACGCGCCACAGCACACAGCCCACGGCAGAACATGGGCTCTGTCACACCGTGTGCCCGCCCCGGCAGCACTGTGCCACCTCTGTCACCCACGGGCACTGCCACCCTGCTGCTGACCCTGCCCTCACCCACGGGGCAATGTCACCCAGCTGCTGACCCTGCCCTTGGCACAGGGCACTGTCACCCAACTGCTGACCCTGCCCTTGGCACAGGGCACTGTCACCTCACTGCTGACCCTGCCCTTGGCACAGGGCAATGTCACCCAACTGCTGACCCTGCCCATGGCTGGGTGCTGGAGAAGCCTTGATGTTGCGTGAGCAGTGCACCCCTGGTGCCACAGGCAGCGCAGGCACAGACTGATCCTGACCCCACTGCCGGTCTGTGCTCCTGCTGGCCAATGCCCTGGCTTTGGCACAGGTCAGTGCCACTGATTCGGGCACAGACTGTGATCCTGACCCCACTGCCTGCCCGTGCTCCTGCTGGCCAGCTGCCCTGGGAGCCCCTGTGGACATGGGTGGGTGTGTGTGGGTGACACCGGGCACTGCACAGGTCAGTGCCACTGATTCGGGCACCACCACCAGATTTCCCCTGAGATAAAGCCAAAGCCCAGTGTGCTGTTCCTGTGTCTGGTTTGTATGTGCTGCACTTTGCGCCGGTCCCTCCCCACCCTGACCTGGCAGCTGCAGAGCAACACCTGAACGTCCACGAGTTCCCTTCAGGCGCTGTCAGGTTCATGCAAACTACAGCAAGTGTGACTGTGGTTGGACAAACACCCAACAATCCCCCTCTCCTTGTTTTGGAGGGAGTCTCTATGTCCTGACTAGTCCCCACAGAGACCACAGCGCCTCTTCTTGGAGACAATTCCATGTCGAGAGTTTTTAATGACTTTCAGATGTCTTAACAGAATACAAGCCCCTGAAGAGAAAATTCCTAGTCTTAACTTGCAGAATTTAGGAGCTGATTTTTATCCATATGGAATTATTTATAGTGCAACTGAGGAAAATAATCCTCCAAAGGATGATGCTGAGTATATCACCTCTTTGCAATGCATTACTAAAGAGTTCCCACACCATTTAACACCTACAGGACAATTCCACTCATCAAAATTCTCATGGAGAATCTGTTAGGGCTTGCCATGAAACAGGTAATTACTTTGGGAATCCTAGCAGTGTAATTTAATTATTGTGGTATTTTTCATTTAACCCAGTAGTTTGTATCACTTCCATCAGTTTACTCTGACAAATGTCAGAACATTCACTTCCCCAAATGTTCTGTTTTCCCTTTTTTCTCAGGCTCCAAAACCTGACCTCTGAAAATGGTTTGAATTTGCAAACCCGATACACACTGAGATCACTTCTTCAGCATTAATGAAGGACAAGTTATGCCTTTTAATCATGTTTATAATGAAAATGCTTAATTATAAAATAATAATAACAATACAAAATGCAGGTCCTCATAAACAACTGTTATTTGTCTACCCCAAACACTTTCAGTTGTGCTTAGCAAGCTCTCCGTTTCTGATGATTCTATTTTTAGTGGATTTCAGCAGAACTACTCATATAAGATTTAAAACAAAATTAACAGCAAAAAAGCAGAGATTTACATGAAGAGAATTTAGGTTTATATTCAACACATCATTTTAGTGTCTGACAGCAGGAGTATTTCAGTAGACGCAGTCACAAACGTTGATAGTAGCTGTTCAGTTGGATGAGAAAAGCAAGAATTAGCCACAGAAGTAGTATTTTTTTGGTATGTATATTGCATACAGATTCCACGTGGAGACAGGGAATCCATCAATCCGCTATCTGCTACAAACCCCACATTTCTGCTTTTGTAGCAAAGTTAGAGCTAGTCCAGACCGTAAGTTTTCTGAGGCATGTTTATGCAGAAAAGGCCAGGGAACCAGTTTTGGCTGACTGCTGTCTCATGTCCTACATGATGTGGCAGCAATAGAGCTGTCAAAAATTGCTCAGAACTTAAATATGTACATGTTTCCCCACACCTTTATTTATCCAGCTCTGATCTCTGCTTTTGAATTCCTGCTTAGCAGGAAAAGGGGAAAGAGGGCATTGCACTTCTGGAAGTGAAATGTGAGGGGTGCAGGCACACATTCCCCCTGGAACCCGAGCATCCCACGGACCCAGGCAGTGGCTCCTTAGCACAGACACCACCCCTCCAAACAACCAGGGCTCCCTGGGAGCTCCATTTAAATAGGCCATCGAAACATCATTATTATGGAGTTGCAATGGTTTTAATGTCTACTCTGTAGACAAGCATTACGTAAGTCCTCTAGGAACTCAGTCCTGAAAATGGATTTATAACTACAGATCAAATTGTGCCACATAGTACTTATTTAAAATATCTGACAAGCTCTCTGAAGTTTGTCTATGTTCCCTTTTTTGCTTAGACAACATATTAAAAACAAATGCCCTGCCATTATTCATGCTTTTAACACTGAGATGTAATTGATAAAGCTGGTGAAAAGTCTGAAGAATGGTTTATATACAAAGCAAAGTGATTACTTACTGTTCAAAGCTGAAGTTTTCAAGAAAATGAGCAACCTAGATTCTAGGAAATCCAGCCATGAATTATTGAAAAGTCCATTAAAATAAAACCATGCCAAACAGAAATATTTCAGACACACCAAGTCTATCAAAGAGATGTGCATTTTCTCCAATATTGATATCACACTTTACTTAATATGAGTTTGAAATAAATGAGAGAGTATGCTGCTGAACGCCACATGAGCTCTCTGAAACCGTTCACATTTCTCTCTTTACTAGGTTAAATGAAACCTGATCTGGATTCCACTTGATCATAAGACTGGAATGCTGAAAATGCTGTAATCTATTTATACATCAAATTGAAGAAACATTGCATGTCTTTAAATTTCACTGCATTCCAGTGTATTAGCTAAACAGCAACAATTTACAAACTGTTTCACATTCAAACTGAGAAAAAGACAGACCAACGTAACTTATTTATCCTAAAGCCAGGATTGATTTCCTGGCTTTAAAACTGTGGCCCAAACCCAGGTCTGCTCTGTGCCTTCCCTAAAAGCCTTGCAGCAGTAATTCATCATTAGTGCCAAAACATGGTAGTTGCCTTATGATGACTTCCAAATCCACAGTTCTTTTTTAGCATCAAGAACAATCCCAAACTACAATCCCAAACTGGATTTGCAGCTCAGATTTTGTCCATACTTCTCTTCCCTCTGCCTCTAAACCACAAATGGTTCAAAATACAGCAGACAGCAAGGCTGAGAACAACTGTGGTAAATAAGAGCAGCCAAATCCCACAGATGAAATCCATACAGGGGCTTATTCAGCCCAGGAGGTATTGGCAGCAACCCATCCACCAAGAGACCACCTCAGGCGCCCCATTGGAACGGCAGTCTCCACAGAATGCTGTCGTTTCCCTCAGTTATTTACAGAATAATTTACAGAACAGCGGTGTTTGACCCATCATTCTGACTAGAGGATTCAAACACCACAGCTGTGTGCAGCACAAGATCTTCTGAAAAAGTAAAGGTGCCCATCATGAAGAAGAGCTTAATATGCTAAAGGCCTGTCTGTTGATCTGTACAAATGTACATTCTAGATTTTAACATCTCTCAGTAAAGAAAGACACACCTGCCACTGACATTTGATGGGTTTTGCCACTGACTTGGAAGGGGTCAGGATCAGGCAAAAACTGCTGATGGTATTTCATAACACCTATTCATTTCTACTTGCCCTTTCAATGATTTTCAATGTGTGAAACAGTGTCCATCTTTCTCACTTGTCATTTCTTTGGGTTTTTTTCATTAGTTGTTGGATTTAGTGCTTGTTATTTCCCATGTAGAAGACTATGAACACTACAAAGACAAAAAGAGCAATTTTTTTTAGAGTCAGGGGAGAGGAAAATTCTGTGCTCTCTGTCACATGAAACTTTAGGAGCCTGAAGCTAAATACTGCAGTACTATTCATGGTTCTCTGGATAGTTAGTGGCCTTTATAAATGCAAAAATCCCACTTAGACATTCAAATAACTGATTTGCCATTTTCTGTGCCCTTCTTCCCTCCAGCAGTCTGTAACCTGGTATTTGTCTTCTAGGTCTTGTGTCTTACAGCTGAAATTCAAAAGAACTTGAAATTCAAATTACAATTGCATCTTGGTTGGGATTGAGACAATTTGGGCTACTTTAGAGGAATCTTTAAAACAAGAATAATTTGAGTCAATGTCTTACTGTCTAGAACCACGAGTTTCATAAAAAGGAAAATGTACAGTTTACAGTAAGGAATTTCTATACTACTGTTTATTTTAATATTTATAATGGTAATGCAGGATTTAATATGGGTCATCAGAAACAGAGTGCTCTCTTAGAATATCCAGTTTTTGGTAACTCCTAAATTTCTCCTCAAATTTGAAAAGACCCTAGGGAAAAATAAACTGCTTGTCACTTGCTCATTACTGTGCCAGTATGTTACTATTGCTAAGACAGTATCGCATGGCCTGACTAAAATTTAGGTCTCAGTACTCAATACACAAAAGAATGGTAAGTGGAGTCCTCAACAGTTCTCTGTATCTGCAGATAAGGCAGATGATAGATGAGAGAGAAAAAAATGAAGATCAAAGAATGAAAAATAACTTGTACAAAGCCATACTGCAGATCAATACCAACTGAGGGGTGAGACAAGCTAAAAATCAATCCCCTAAATGCTTCCTACTGACTTCCCCTCAAACAGTCTCAGCCTGGACTCCTGACCCTTGAGTAGATGCCCTTTTTGTTAGATCAATGGCATCCTCAGGCTAGATTTTAGTCTCTAACAGTAATCACCTAATGTTATTAAAGGCTGAGATATCTGAACCCATGCGCTCTGGATACTAATAAACTGACTCTTTTTATTTTCCTATCTCTTTCTTTTGAAAAACATCGTAATTTTAAAGTTTATATCAGGGCTTTTCAAAAGCTTAAATGTACACATACACCTATTAATATACATTAATATTAATGTATAATAATATATAATACATATATTGACATACATCTTTATCCAGCCGTGCATTCATTTCTGGGTGTGAGCACGTGTGGGGCAGTGTGCACTCCATAAGCATTCAGGGGTTTAGTGTGTGCTAGTGCCACACAGATTTCAGCCACCATCAGTGGAAGCACCACCTTTTGACCATTTAAAATTTAGAAACAAACAGAACATTGTAGTGCCATTTTCACTGGATATCTACAACTATCACACTCCAGAATAGCTTCTTTTTTAGTCTTCTATCACTTGTGGGGGCATTTCTGCCCTCAGTCCAGAGGCTGTGTGAGAGATACTTTCACATGACTGGTGCATGATCTTTAAATGGCAAAATATGTAAAATCACCCACAGTGAGAACAGGAGAACCACAAGGAAAGCCACTAAGAGTCTCACTGACACCTGTATGGGGATCCTCCTAGTGAAGAGTGTAATGGTGAAGGTGACGGAGAGGGCAGAGGAGAATTACCCAACTACCGGGCCCGCAGCCCGGAGGGACACGGAGGGGAACGGAGCTGGGAAAGGGGCTGGAACACCAGGAGCGGCCGAGGGAGCTGGCAGGGGGCTCAGCCTGGAGAAAAGGGGGATCAGGGGGGCCCTTGTGGCTCTGCACAGCTCCTGACAGGAGGGGACAGCCGGGGGGATCGGGCTCTGCTCCAGGGAACAGGGACAGGAGCAGAGGGAACGGCCTCAGGCTGGGCCAGGGCAGGCTCAGGGTAGGCACAAGCAGGAATTTCCCCTTGGAAAGGGGGGTAAGGCTTTGGCACTGCCCAGGGAGGTTTGGAGTGCTCATCCCTGAGGTGGCCCAGGAAGGGCTGGACGTGGCACCCAGTGCTCTGGGCTGGGTGACAAGGTGGGCATAGGGCATGGTTCGGTCTCAGTGGTCCGTTCCAGCCGGAATGAGGCCGCGGTGCCGCGGGTCAGGGTCCCGGGCCGGGGCCGCCGCGCAGCTCCCGGGCCCGGCGCTGGTCCGACCGCAGCGGGAGCGCTGCCCGGCCCCGCCCGACGAGGGCGCTCTCTCGCGTTCGCCGACGCTCCGGCGGGGCCGCGCACTCTCCGCCGGCCGGGGCTGCGTGCGGCCGGGCGCGACCAACCCCCGGGGGGGAGGGGGGAACTCGGCGTGCGCCGCCATATCCCAACTGTCCCCCGCAGGCCGCACTCCCCCACCACCCCCGCGCCGCGTTGCGCTGCTTTGCGCCGGGCCGTGACGTCACCCGCCGGGGGCGTGGCCACGTCGCTCCCAGGGTGCAGCGCACAAGTTGAGCCCCATCTTGGGCGAGAGGAGCCGCGGCCCTACCGCGCTCCGGGAGCTCCGGGGCCGGTGCAGCGCAGCGGGTCCGCCCGCCCGCGGCCGCTGAGCGCCGCTCCCCGGGCCGCCGCGGCGCCGGCACCCCGCCCGCGGCGGGGGTTTGCCCGTGGGGCGAGCCCGCGGGCCCGTTGCGAGCAGGATGCGCCTGGCGCTGGTCTCCAGGTAGAGCGCGGAGACAGCGGGGGGGGGGGTGGGACACGGGGCCGCCCGGGCCTCGCCCGGCCAGCGCGGGGCCCCTCGCGCGGGGCGGGCCGCGGGCCCGCTGCTGCGGCCCGCAGGAAGCCGCGGGGCGCTCGGAGCGGCGGCAGGGAGGAGAAGGAGGCCCGGCCGCGGGAAGAGGGCTGCGGAGAGGGAGGAAGAGGAGGAGCCCCGCCGCCCCCCGCCCGCCGCAGGAAGCCGCCGGAGGATGTACGGTAGCGCCGGGGGCCCGGCCGGCACGCCGTGACAGCCCGCCCCAGCGTCCCGCTCGCCTCGCCACGGCTGGCCGAGCCCCTTCCTGCGGAGGAAACATGTCCAAGATGCCGGCCAAGAAGAAGAGCTGCTTCCAGATCACCAGCGTGACCACGGCGCAGGTGGCCAGCAGCATCACCGAGGACACCGAGAGCCTGGATGACCCGGATGAGTCCCGCACCGAGGACGTGTCTTCTGAAATCTTTGATGTTTCCCGAGCCACCGACTACGGCCCCGAGGACGTCTGCGAGCGGAGCTCCTCCGAAGAGACTCTCAACAACGTGGGCGAGGCCGAAACTCCCAGCAGCGTCTCTCCCAATCTCATTTTGGACGGGCAGCTGGCTGTGGCTGCTGCTGGGGTGGCTGCAGGCCCCAACGGGGGGGCTGTGCCCAAAAGTTCGGCTGTGCCGCTGCCGGCTGTTGCTCCTGGCACTGCTGCGGGGGGAGGCAGCAGTGCTCAGGCACCCAGTGCCCCCGGGGCCATGTCTCAGACGGCGGCTGCTGCGTGCAGCTCTCGCTTCAGGGTGATCAAGCTGGACCACGGTACTGGGGAGCCCTACAGGCGAGGCCGATGGACGTGTATGGAGTACTATGACCGGGACTCAGATGGTGGTGGTGTTCTGGGCAGGACTGGAGATTGCATTAGGCACAGCAGCACCTTCGAGCAGGCTGCTCAAGAGAGGGACAGTGGCCTCGGTGCCACAGGAGGCTCTGTTGTGATCTCGACTGTGCCGGCGTCAGCCCATGGCCCCGATTCTATAGCTGACAGCTCCCTGGCTGCTGTGTCACAGCTGCTTCAGACAGAGAAAATGAACCAGTCCTCTCTACAGCAACCTAATTTTGTCATTGGGCAACAGCAACAGCCCGTAGGTGGGGCCGTGCCTCAGAGTACTGCTCAGCCTGTGTTTTCTGGGGCTTCGGGAGCAAGTCAGCAGATGATAGTGCCGCAGCAACCACAGCCACAGGTAAATCCACAGGGTGTTTCACAGGCTGGACCCAACGGGAAAGGCATGGCACCGTCAAATGTGACAGTAGGGCAGTCAAGCATTCCTGTGGCCCAGCAGCAGGTGCAGCAGGCAAACATACCAGTGACTCAGCCTCAACAATTTGCTTATTCTCAGTCCCAGATTCCACCAGTGCATCTACTGCCGACGCAGCCTCCTGGGCAGGCTGAATACATGCAGCACATGACAATTATGCAGTCTCAAGGAGCTATTCAGCAGGCTACTACAAGCTCTGCTCCAAGTACTGTGGCCTCCAGCCTTCCTGTGGGGCAGGTGACGGGCCAGAACCCCTCAGCTGTGGGAGCGCCGGTGATGGGGGTGTCAGCGCAGCCCAGCGAAGCAGTCGGGCAGGGATCGGGGCTGCTGCAGAGTGGCCAGGCACCCGCGAGTCAGCCTGCCCTCCCGCAGCAGGGAGGTGTGGTGCAGCCAGGCCTTGGGCATACGGGGGTTGTGCAACAGAAATCTGTGACTCAGCATCCAATGGGGGGAAGCAGTCAAGTGTCGGGAATGCCTGGTGCTCCCCATGCTGTGGTCCCTGGAGTTCAGAGCGTGCCTGCGGTTGTGCCCGGTACAAGTGTGCCTAGTGCGTCCACCACCGCCTCTGCTGCTATGCCAAACGTCCCTGTCACGCTGGTGCAGTCCCAGCTGACGAGCCACCCTTCTGCCAGCAGAAGCACTGGCGCGGTCCAGTCCCAGCACGTCGGACACTCGATGATGCAAGGTGCGCCCAGCGCACCCGCCAGTCTGCCTCAGGCCAGCCTCGGACAGTTTCAGACCCAGGCCCAGTCCTTAGCAGGCCAGATTGATGATACTAGAAGAAAATCGGAACCCCTACCTCAGCCACCACTTTCTCTTATAGCTGAAAATAAACCTCTTGTGAAGCCTCCCATTCCAGACACTCTAGCAAATCCTCTTCAGTTACCTGCAAGTACTCCAATGAACAGTCTTGCCAGCTCTGTTTTTGGCATATCCATTCCTGTTGATGGTGATGAAGACAGGTATGAATTATTTTATAATGCCATAAAAAAGAACTGTGTTTTTGGGGCGGGGGGGGAAGTCAACTTTCAAGTTATTGCCCAGTGTTTTTTGTAAATTCTCATTTTCAGAAGGTCATGCTGAGGTTCACCTGAACTATATTTTTCTTTTAAGAGCGCAAACCATAGCTAAGCACTTAGGCCAGTAGTGAATTGTACTTGTTTTTTGCAAGGTGTGAGTGTGATTACTTTTCTCACAAAATGGGGTACAAAGTATCCTGGAAGCTGCTTAATGCATGAATAATATTACCTCTTCCAAATCAGAAGACTGAAAGCTGCCTTTCTGTAGCCAGTGGCTGAGGCTGTGCAAAGGGCTGTTCTCTCATTTTTCCTGAATGCATTATAAAGCACCTCAATGGCAGTTGGGTTAAAATGACACTGTATTGCAGTGTTAAATCTGTGTGGTGCTATCTCAGGGCTTTTAACATAGAGTCTTGATTTTTACTCTGCTGTAGAGTTGACACTTTATAGTGTCAGGTAGTAAGGAAAGTACTTGGATTTGTGTGTGGATTTGTGTGCAAATCCATATGCAGGGAAATCTCTGCAGAGAATGGTCCTTTGTGCTGAGAAAACAGACACTACTTGGGCAAAGATGTGGACACGGTGGGAAGTACAACCTTAGAGTGAGTTTTTTTAAGTTGGAAAGTAATTTGGAACTCTAACTTGTAACAGAGGGGTGTGGTGTGAGCAGACTCCTGAGAGAGGGAGTGGGTGTGTGGCTGCTGTTCCCATGGACACGTCGGACTGCTCTGAAGGCCAAACCACTTGATTGACTTCTTTGAGGGAAAGAAGAATCAAGCAGTGTTTGAGCACTGAATTCGAGTCCCGACATTTGCTGTCAGAATTGCTGCAGTTTGGTGGAAGGGAATACATTTGTGTTACTTGTTTTTGAAAACAGGCATTAGTCCATCATGAGCAGATCTTGTGGTGAATTTCTCTGTAAGTCTTCTCTCACCTTGAGACAGCACCAGACATGAATATATAATAGAGTGAGTGTTGCTTTGAGGGTGTTTTAGTGAAGCAGCTGTGTCTGTGGAGTTGGGGCGCAGTGGATGGAGAGTTCAGACTGCAGGTTTAGCGCAGGCCTGTGCTCGCTGGAGCGCTGGCTGACGCTGTGTCTGAGAAAGTAACTGCTGTGCTTTTCTGCAAGGAAAAGCTGTGGTTTGGAAACCTGTGCTGGTTTTCAATAAAGTGGTGAAGGACGAACTAAAAGTTTAAAATTTACTCGCAGTTTGCCCACCTTAAGAAGACTGCTAATCTGGCTGACAAACTGCCTTGTGCAAGTAAGGTTTGATTTCAAGCTGGTGGGTTCTTTTCATAGCTCATTGTTTTTTTGAGAAAACGATTTGTCTGGTGTTTAATCATTCTCTTGATTCAGGAATCAGAAAGAAAAGAATGCATTTTTCATTTGTTTTCCATAGCTTCTAATACTTAGTATAAATTGTGGCAATGAACATGATTATCTGTGACAACTTAATAACTTCTGTGTAAAGACAGAGAAAAACTTACTCTGCTTACTCAAATTACGGGCATGTAACTGTGTGGCACTCCAGTGGGTCAGTTCTTGGTGCTCTTACCAGAACAGTGATTCTTAAAGTTAATTTTCTAGTTTAGTCCTTGCAGTTGCCACCTTGCAGTGGTGCTTTGCCTGGTGTTCATGTCTAAAGAGACTCTTACAGACACTTTCCCATGAGAACTATGAGTAAGAAATGAAAATGGGGTGTGAATGCAGTGGGCCCTTTTTGGTAGGCCATGCTGTGGTGTTCAGTAGAGAAATGAAAGTCTGGTTATCAGTGAAGGAGTGCCTATGTGTCGTTTGTCAGCTTCTGCACTGGGTGATAAAACTGCGGTGTGCTGGCTTGTCAGAAAGCCAGGAGCACATGTACGGTGTGAGAGTCTTTCCCAGCTGGGAAGGTGATTCTGGTGAGCCACGAAAGCTCACCTTAAACAGACCTAGACCTCATCCATAACATAGGAGATAGATACAGAGACAGTACATGGAAGTTTTTCTTTGCTCCCCTCAAACAGTAGCCTGATTTGCAGTGGCTTCAGACAGAGAAAGGTGAGAATGAAAGCCTATCAGCTTGTTAAGGCTGTTTTACCTTCGGTTTTTATTTGCTTTACTCTCTGAGAAGGCTTTATTGTAAAACTGTCTCCTGCTTGTCGGCTGTTCTATTCTTGCTCCTGCTTTTTTCCCCTTTCCAGCCATTTGAATTATGCTGCCCCTCCCATGGGCTTTGCCCAGCTGCCTTCTCTACTGGAATCGGTGGTGAAATAGTTAATGAAGACCTTCAAGTGTCATTAATAGGCTGGGGGTTGACACTGATAAAGCTATTAAAGCACAAAGGGAGCTGATACATCATGAGTCATGGTTTGTGCTGGCAGGTCCAGGAAGTTAGCGCACAGCTCAGTTCACAGAGGTTACTTGGTGGTCATAGAAGCTATAAATCTGTGGAAAGCATTTTTCTCTTTGTCTTTTGTACTATTAATCTGTAACATTCCCTGAAAGGGGGCTCAGTGCGAGGGCAGGTATCCATGTTTCTTCTGGCACCTTCAGTTGTACTTCAGTATTTGCACATACTTGAAGCTTCACAGACTTGTGTAGATCATTCTCCTCTAGTCATCTTCTAAAGCAGTGACTCATCAAGGAGTAGTGTATAGCTCTCAATACCCTGGATTTACCTGGAAAGTTACCATTATGAATATGAAGAGGAACTGTTTTAAAGTTAAAATAGTTAGGATGGAAATTCTTTGAAAGCAGCGTGTTGGTAAAACAGTAAACATGATGTAAAAAGTTGATCAGTTCATGTACTTCTGAAACGTTTTTTTTATTACTCCTGTCTTATAGTCTGCTGTTTTAAATCGAACAGCATCTAAGGTTATTAGGGGTGGAGGTGATCCAGTATGATATATAAAGAGAACTATGTTTATAGATTGCTTTCTTCCAAGCCATTGCCCAAAGACTTTTAATTTCATTTTCCCATAGCCCAGTACACTTTGCCAGTAGTCCGTAAAAACCTGTGGTTTCTTGCATTGACCTGATGAATAGTGAAGAAAATCAGTTAATTGGAAAACTTTGTCTGTGGGGGAAGAAAGGGTGGATAGGTGGCCCAAAAGAATGAAAAAGAAAGCCTTCAGTGTGTCACACCTTCTTGAAAAGCAAAGCCAGTATTTCAGTTGATGTTTCCAAATTGCTAAGCTCTTAAAAAGAAAAAATTGTGTGTGAAAGTTATGAAATATTTACTGCATAACACATTTTCCTCTTTAAATGTGGCTGCAAATAAAATAAGCTGCAGCAGTATTAAAGGATGGAGGAACCAGTACTGATACTGAGACAGATGCGGGTATTGCTGTCTCAAACAGGGAAAATACTAACTGTGTAAAAACGTTATTGGAACTAGGTCTCAAAATTGCTCTGACTCTTCTTTTGTTGGACTTCAGCACTAGTACTAATTATTTTGAAGGGAGGGCAGTTAGAACACCTGAGAGGATGTTGGTATCAGTGTGTGTCAGGTTCTCTGCTTGCCCTTATGCCCATGTATACACAAATTTGTAATTGACAAGCAGAATATTTCATCTGGCTTAATAACTTTATTTTGGCTCTTGGGGGAAAAGAAATATGTGGCTTCTGTTAAAAGAATGTTACTGAGAAAGCTTGTTCAAACCTCCTACATGTTTGGCAGACTTTTGGGGCAAAATATTACTAGGGCTGTTGGAAAAGGCGCAGAGTATAGATCATTTTCCAGAGATAACTGCCCGGCTTGAACTGTTCCGGCTGTATTCCAGGAACACTAATGAATGGCTGCAATTGTGAACTGTCAGCTATGGCAGCTGAGCTGTTGAGAACCTGATTGTGCAGGGCTCTCTGCAGCGTGGCTGCAAGCTCAACTAAATCACGTACTCGTATGGAGCACCAACTGCTGGGGGAACTGTGCTCTTGAGACCATGCTCATCACATTAGGACTAAACTGGGCCTGGGGTCATTTAAGTATTGCCCTACATGCATATTTTATTGTGCTCCTAAAAAAAAAAGTAAGTTTTCTGCAAGTACCTACCAGTACATGATACTTGAATTGCATTAGTTTGCAGTGTTATCTCTTCCTTCACCTTGCTCCTAAACTTTACAGAGGCTTGAGCTCTCCTACAGCTGCAGACTTGTTCTCAGCTCTCCTGCGGAAGGTGTGTGTTTGTGAGTGTGTGGGAGCAGGTGGGAATGAAGCCTGGACAGACGCTCCAGAGCCTGGAGAGCCTTTGGTTGGACGGGCAGTTCGGAAACTGAGCTGGGACTTCTGGGGTGGCCTCTGCCGCTCATGGCAGCAAACGGTGGTTAATGCAAAGGAACTCCAGTTGGATGTGTTCACTGCTTGCTATACTTTCTATAACAAAAATTACCAAAGGTAACTGCAGCACTGCATGGGTTTCTGCACAGTAGAAAGCCTGTCATGCTGTGCAGTCACTTTTAGAGTGGTGCAAGATAGCTAAACAAAACTGTGGTTGCTTGTTTGACAGTACTGTTTCCCAGTTTAAACATTCAAATGCCTTTGTTAAGGAGGAGTCAATATATTCTTAAAAATTATGAGGTACATTAAGTGTTTCAGATGAGAGAGTTATTAAAAGGAGGGAATGGGGAAAGTAGTTGAAAGAAATTCACAGTGATACTCTTCAGGTTGTTTCAAAGACTGTAGTGACCAGCCCTGACAGGAGAGGTTCCCTGTACCTCAGACTCACAAGTGTTCTGCTCAGCTGCTGGGGGTTAGTTTTTTCCTCATCTCCTACAAAAGATGTTCCATAGCTGATTTCTGAGTACTGTCTGTATGACAGAAATAACTGCATATGTTTTATGGAAGCTATTTTCAACTTCTTGTTAAAAGCTGAATATTGAAGTATTTGGATGTTTTGAAAAGGCAGGACTAACAAACTGCTCTCAGACACCAGACGGGATGAAAGTTCTCAGAGGCTGCGTT